AATGGCCTCCACAGCCTCCACAATGACCATTAAAATAAAACAACACTTCTCAAACAGATTCAAGTAAATATCTGAACTATTATAATCCTCATGAAGGAGATTTACCTGCAGGGCCTGTTCCATTATACTGCATTAGTTTCATCCAGTTTCACCTAATACATACATATGACTTAAAAATAAAACTCAAGGAACACAAATGCTAAAACAAATCAGCCCTTTATTTCAATTTACCCAAATACAGCAAACTTAATAAAATGCATTTCTTTGAACATGAACAGTTAATGGGCAGATGGGCAGAGTGTAAGTAACTGCAGACTGATCTTAGAAGGTTCACTGTGTAACTGGTGCTAGATTGTCCTGAAACATGTCCGTCTCATCTTGTTAATGCCACTGTCACTGTTAGCGCAATAAACTTATCATAAACTAATTAATAGAACTTGCAGTACAGGTGAAACTGATGATCTCTCTCCAGGTCCACCCTGTGATATGAGTCATGTAATGACCTTATTTTCTCAACCGATCCCATCCATCCACTGCACCACAGCACATGATGTGAGCGCAAGAATAAAAAAAAGCACACATTACAAATGAATTCTTACACACACTAACAGCATTGTGCCCATGGAAACTATTTACAACATTTTTACCATGGAAAACAGTCACTGTCAAGTCTTTCCACTCGCTTCATTTTAACTTTCTATCTTGGTTGTGAAGAGTTTTTATGACCTTTTTAAGGCCATGGTGAATGCAATCTAAAAATATAATTAAAAAAAAAAACAAAATAAAATAATTGATTTCAGTTACCGTCTGTCATCTTTGAAATGTATTTACTTCTTCAGCCGATACCACTGTCCACGACCTCCTCAGCAGCAAACAGCAGACAGACACGGTCCGAGAACAGCTGCTGAACATATGGTACAATAAGAAGCTAAAGAGACAGATTTCCCTCAGTAGCTGGTGAGACCAAACACAGAGCTAAAAGAGAGGAACACTGGACTGACATCATCATGAGACACCATGACACAAAAACCACTCAAATTGCAACAAATCAAATATAATAAAATGTCAATTAAAAGTTATAAATGAAGATAGAAAACGTTGTCCTGTCTTCTCTTCATCTCTTCCCTCCACTCCTCCATAGTCTTTCCACCAACAGTCACACAGTGACACACTTGCAAGTGAGTGAAAGTCAGGTTCAATCTTTTGTGGTTGTACACGACTTGCTGGCAACGATGTTAATGAGTGTTGGCAGCCGGAGGGGTTTTTTCTCCAGGCAGCGGTGCCCGGCTCTGCCACAGCAGTCTTCGGACGTGCGTTCCTCTTTCCTGTAAGGCGTCTGGTCTCTGGGCTTACAGGTCAGTTCAGGCAGAGAGGTGGATGAACAGCAAAGAGGTTAAAGGACTGTCCTTGTTCGCCAACCCTTGTCATCCGAATGCTACAGACCGCTTTGTGGCTGAAGCGGAGAGTCCTGGCCAGCATCTGGACACACACAGACACAACACACGACTTTCTAGGATGTTTTATGGGATACTTCAGCTTTTCATTAAATAGATAAAAGTCACAGAAACAGGATTACAACGACAGACCAAACACAGCTTTGATGGCAAAACTCTTACCGACCGGAGGGAGTCCTCAAGTTCAATGCAATAGAGCGATGTCGTCTGAGCCATCACTCGGGCACGGCACCACTGGCCACATAATCCTTGAAAGAATGACCACGAGTCCTCACGGTCCTCCTGCTCGTTCTGCAGGTGTTCGCTAGGAGCCTAGAAAGTACTTGAGCACGCTGGCTTCGAGAGGAAAAGAGGTTTTCGATGATCAAAAATGAATTTTAGTGTTTTGCATTGAAATGTATAATACACCATATATACTATAATTCACAAGTCTCTGAGACACATATCACTGAACGCTGGGATGAAACGGTTAGTGTTGGAGAGCCGGAAGGCGACCCTGCCCTTTGTCAGTCTACCAGTCTTCTGTGTACAGCTGCACCTGGTGGCCGTCCTGAATGCCAGCGAGGTGGCTCCTCTTGTCTCATACTTCCTGGATTGCAGAGAGAATCCAGCAATAGAGACGTCAAGGGTGACGTTGGAGATCTGGATTGAGGAGGGCCGGTCTCCTCCTGCCCCATGTGTCCTCCGTCCAACAGCAGAGCCTCCGCTCCTCCCAGGAGATCCTCTGGATCGACCTTGGCACGCTATAGGCCGAAGCATCCCGCGCTTCCCCTCTAGCTGGGACAAGATGTGGCGTTATCAATCCAACACACGACTGGCACCAAAGATCGTACACGCCAGGCAACTGTTTTCAGAGCAGCACCAGCGGGCTTCTTTGTTCAATCTGGAGGGAGAGAGAGAGAGAGAAGAGAGAAGAGAGAGAGAGAGAGAGGTTTTCAAATGTTTAATGTTATATTTTGGTGTGATTTTAGTACACACACAGCAGTGGGTGTGAAAGCAGCTGTAAGAACATAAAACTCTGCGCTGAATTACATTTCATCCTAGAGAAATTCCCTGGTGGAAGGCACCTGTTGGGAAGAATTACTAAGGATGGCTAGTTGGAACGATCAATTCAAGTTAGTACATAGCAGTGCATTTAAGTAAAGTTTCAACTTTTTTAATTGTATTATTTTGTGAAAGATCTTAATTCATCATTTAAATTCATTCATCAATGAAAATGCCAGCAAGCTACCTGCTAATGGTAAGCGTTACTGAAAAATGGGGTCAAACAACTATGTACTGTACGTGCACACATTGTTTATTTTTACAAATATAATTATTATTTTACTATTTGTCATTATTATTACATACAATTCACAAACAAAAAATGTCACATTAATTACAACTTTGTCACTTGTCTATCTTCATGGTTAAACTGTCTTCTTGTGTTACCTTCCTGTTTGTATCAATGAAAGATATGAATAAAATGCTTAATCGCTAGCTATCACCCACTTGTTATTTATTGCATTGCTTATAGAAACTTGTTGAAATTCATTCATCAGTGAACAATGTGCCAGTAACCAGCCTGCTATAATAGCACTAATGTAAAAGGCTGGTTGGGGGCGGGGTTATATGCCTGTCACCACATTGTACTTGCCGCCATCATCATTTATGTATTGTTCATATCATTTTAGCATTAATGAATTGTAATCCTATGCTTATTTATTGCTGGAAAAGAAGCTAATTTTGGATATCAGTGCTAAGAAATCCTTAGCCCACCATTTTTTTATCTTGCAATCTATTGGTAAGGCTGACTAAATGCTAATGCGTAAGCAACGCTAGCGCACCTCCCCTGTGTTCTGCTTGTCCATGTTTTTTTCACCAATTAAAGAATTAAAAAAAATGCTAATCTCATCTGCTAATGGCTACAAATAGCCCCCCCCTTGTGTTCTGCTTTGTCCATGGTTTTTTTCACCAATAAAGAATTTTAAAAAAAAAATGCTAATGTATCTGCTAATGCTAGCGAGCTAGCACACCCCCTGTGTTCCGTTGGTCCATGTTGTTTTCAACATAAAGAATAAAAAAAAAAGATGCTTATGCTATTGCTAATGCTAGCAAGATAGCGCCGCTCCCTTTGTTCGCTTGTCCAATGTTTTTTCACTATAAAGAATAAAAAAAAAATGCCTAATGCTAGCAAGCTAGCACCCACCCCTATGTTCCGCTTTGTCATGTTTTTTTCACGCCAATAAAGAATAAAAAAAAAAAAAAAAAATGCTAATGCTAACAAAAACGGCAGCTAGCCGCGCGCCCTCCCCAGCACAGCATTGCAGCCCAGCAAGCAGGGATAGCTACCCCGCGGTAATGCTATCTCTAATGCTAACAAGCTACCACCACCCCATTGTTCTGCTATGGTCCATATTTTTTTCACCAATAAAAATCAAATAAAAAAATTGCTAATGCTTATTGCTAGCTGCTAAATGGCTAGCAAGCTAGCACCCAACCCCCTGTGTTCTGCTTGTCATTTTTTTTTTCACCAAAGAGAATAAAAAAAATGCTAATGCTAATGCTAGCTGCCTAATGCTAGCAAGCTAGCCCCCACAGCCCACATTCTGCTTGTCTGTTTGTTCATCAATAAAGAATCAAATAAAAAAATGCTAAATGCTAATGCTAGCTGCTAATGCTAGCTGCTAATGCATACTAAGCTAGCCCCGCCACCACACATTCTGCTTGTCCATGCTTTTTTTCTACAATAAAGAATCAATAAAAAAATGCTAATGCTAACATAGCTGCTAATTGGCTAATGCTAGCTACTGCTATGCTAATGCTAGCTAGCTACTAAGCTAACAAAAAAACGGCGGCTAGCTCGCGCCCCCCCCAGCACAGGCATGCGCCCAGCAAGACAGAGCTAGCCGCCGGCGGCTAGCTCGCGCCCCTCCCAGCACAGGCATTGCGCCAGCAAGCAGAGCTAGCCGACCCGCGCTAGTCGCGCCCCCCCAGCACAGATTGCGCCCAGCAGAGCAGAGGCTAGCGGCCCGGCGGCTAGCTCGCAGCCCCCCGCAGCACAGGCATTGCGCCCAGCAAGCAGAGCTAGCGCGCCGGCGGCTTAAGCTCGCGCCCCCCCAGCACAGGCAATTGCCCGCAAGCAGAGCTACCGCCCGGCGGCTAGCTCAGCGCCCTCCCCAGCACAGGCATTGCGCCCAGCAGCAAGAGCTAGCCGCCGGGCGGCTAGCTCGCGCCCCCCCAGCACAGGCATTGCCCAGACGCAACCAGCCGCCCGCGGCTAAACGCGCCCCAGCAGGCATGCGGCCAGCAACAGGCTACCGCCGGCGGCTAGGCTCCGCCCGCGCCTAGCCAGAGCACAGCATTGCGCCCAGCCAAGCAGAGCTAGCGCCCGGCCGGCTAGCTCGCAGCCTCCCCCAGCACAGGCATTGCGCCCAGCAAGCAAGCTACACGCGCTGCTCGCGCCCAAGCAACAGGCATTCGCAGGCAGCAAGCTGCGCCCGGCGGCTAGCTCGCGCCCCCCCAGCACAGGCATTGTGCTGAATGGCCGACTCTAGCCCCCGTACGTTACCCCCGACTTAGCCCCGACTTAGCCCCGACTTAGCCCCCGACTTTAGCCCCCGATTAGCCCCCGACTTAAGCCCCCGACTTAGCCCCGACTTAGCCCGACTTAGGCCCCCGACTTAGCCCCCGACTTAGCCAACCCGACTTAGCCCCCGACTTAGCCGCCGACTTAGCCCGCCGACTTAGCCCCCGGATTCAAATTAGGCTCAAAATGATTTTGAGCTTCGTAAAGTAATGTTTAACAAATAATTCCAATATTTGGTATTCTAAATCAAACTTTGTAAACCTGGAAGAATAATCTTGCAGAGAAATTCAAGGTATGTGTATGTGATAAATTGTGCTTGTGGCCAAGAGATTTCTATTTGTTGAGATTGTGTGGCTCAAAACTGAACAAATGTATCAGTGGTGGTTAAACAAGACACAAGGATGAAGAAAGTGCTTTGTGGACATCGTGTACAGAGAATATAAGAGCTGAAAACTGTTAAAACTCAGTTGTGCAACATTCCAGTGTGTGACACTGACACCGTACAAATTTGATCCTTGTCACTTCAGTGTCACATCTGTGGGAACTTTTGACCAGAGTTTTACTGATTACTGCTCTGTATCACAACACAGATGGTTGATCTCTCTCTTTATTGTTGTGATAATGTTTAAGTTGCAGATCTACTTCTGTAAGTGCAGGTATGTGTGTGTGTATACATGTCTTGCTGTGGTTGTGGGGACAAATCTGGGTTTGAAACCGTCAGTGTGAGGTTATTGTGGCCAGTCGTGACGGCTTCAAAAGGCTTTTTGAGGGACAGCTGCAGTGACTGAGGTCAGAGTCAGGATGAGTCTCTACGACATGAATGAAGCTGAAAGTAACGTCCTTTGTGCAGATTGAAACGAGAGGAGTGAAGTACAAGCACCAAGCAGCAGGAACATTCAAAATTTCTCCAGGAATTTTCTTGTACTTTTAATGTTATCCTCTACTGGCGCAATTTTCCTTGATTGTGTTATCAGTTCTGCTCTTTCTTGTTCAACTTTTTGCATGATATAAAAATATTTTCAACTGAGTGCAGCACAGTCAGCTAGGTAACGTGTGTTTTGTCTGTATGCTAATCAGGCTGCGCAGACTCCGTGACGGGATTGGTCGGAGCAGAGGGGCGGAGCCTCCAACTCTACGGCCGGCTTCAATGTTCCCGCCAGTCCACACAGCTGCAGTCGTCGTAATCAACAGAGCAAAGTTATTTTTCCTGCGTTATGAAGGCAGTGTGACATAGTAAACACATGCTGCATACCATGTGCACACACACAGTGCAATTCAGTCTCCAGCCCACCTCATATGTCGCCAGGCTGCAAAAGAGGAAGAAAACGCCACGTGAATCACGTGAATGGTGTTTTTTTGTGTGTTTTTTTTTTAACCCAGCTCTTTGATCAATTTGTGATGCACTGTTGATATTTTTTTTCTCCTGTTCTCCGAGGCACTACTGCACGTTGATACTGATGCCATGGTTGGAGTATCACCTCTACCTCGAGCCCAAATAACAAAACTTACAAATATCTCCTTTTAAATGTGCTTAACAAGCAAATGCAGCTCGTTACATGTCAGCTTTATTGCAAGGAATTCAAGATGAATGGCAAATCACTGAAACCTGCAAACATCCTGCTTAAAAGAGGGAGAGAACCGTTATGTTGGGTGTTACCTTACGTGTCAACAAAGAGTGTAGTTAGTTGAAAAGTGTCATGGTTCCTACTTCAAACAGTCGCCTCTCCAGCAAAACAGCCACATGTAATAACAAACAGAGCTAATAGCAGCTGTTGCACAACAGGAAAGAGCCACTTCATCACGTTGCTCTGGGCGTCCTCACTGTCACAGAATGGTACTTTAAAGGAAACAGTCAGTGGGGAGAGGGGTGTCGTTTTGTTTGGAGTTTTTTTTTAATGGCGTGAAAACCAGAGCAAAAAACTCAAAGATCCAAGAAGTTAATTTGTGCAACACCACCAGGTTGTTTTAACTGGTGACATTTAAAGCTGAAATGCATAGTTATGTAGGTCTGTAATTTGTGAGGGTCCTGTGGTTTACTACAACATACAGAGGACACACAGTAGACTTACCTTGATGTGGAGGGAAATGAGCACTTGGCGCCCTTCAATCTGAGAGGGTCCTTAAACTTAAAATAAAATCCTTTTATTTCATAGTGCTTCAGTTTGAAACAGGTCGTCAAAATGTCTGACTAATAAGTGTTCAGGAAAACATGACTGCACCCAAACGTGTCCGTGTTAGGAGCCCAGAGAGACACAAGGGGTAGAAACATGTAGTCCTACATACATGACCTGTGGTTTATGTGATCTTGTGTCAACGTCAAATCATGTTATGTCATGATATGTTTAGTTTATATCGTGTTACAAAGTAGTATGGTGTAATATTTATAGTAGGTTTTGTCATTTCACGGTAGATGGCCTCAGTTGTGAACACAGGATTTGGTTTTTAAAGTTGTTGTGACTTGTGTCTTCACTGCGTCATGACTCCAACACAGCTGTTAAATAGCTGTAAAATATGACGTCATAGTGTAGTACGGTATGTTTGTGTCGGGTTGTATGACACAGTATGATGTGTTTGTTCTGTCATGCTATGTTGCTTTCTGTTACGTGTTATGAAGGCAGCCATGGTAGTAGTTCACAGGAGGGTGTATGAACTTGCCTTACCTTTCCTTAAGCACAACCAAAACAACAGAGTTACAAAAATGCCATTTGATAAAATACACCATGTGAGAATCAACAGATTAGCAGCTGAGTAAATGCTGGATAGTGAGATTCATGTAACTAACATTCATGTCTCTTTTACAGCAGTTATTGTACAAACCATGATCACAGTGGCTTCAGGTATTATCAGTAGTGCAGAGTTTATTTACAAACAGCTCTTGAGACACACACACTTTCTAATGTTTATTTTTAGGACTTGCATGTGTTGTAAAATTGTGTATGCTTTAGTTGGAAGTTTTTTGTTTGCGTGGTCGCTCCTTATTTTTTTATTTGAAACCTATTTTATATGTTCTAAATACAAAAACTCGGGTCAGTCATTTTATGAAAAATAAACTAAAGACAGTGTCAGTACATACATTATTGCATGCAACGCTTGTGTAATTAAAGGAATAGTTCAACATTTTAGGAACTGTATTTTCTTGCTTTCTTGCTGAGAGGTGGATGAGAAGACTGATACCACTCTCACGTCTGTATAGTAAATACTTGGTTGTTGTTTTTTTTTATCCAAAAATGACAAAATACATCCAGAAGCTTAATTGATTAAAGCTCACTAATCACATATTAAACCATGTTTTTTTATCACCATGGAAACAGAAGTGTAAAACAACATTTTGTGGTTTTATGGGAGATTACATTTTAACAGGAATAACAGAGATTCGGTGTCAATTTTACTCTTCGTTTTTTGAGAAATGAAACAGACAAGATGAAACATGTTGATTAGAGAGCTGTAGAGCTGCTGGTAGGTGGATTCTGTTTACGCTAAGCTAAACAGCTGCTGGCTGTAGCTTCATATTTATTGAACCGACACAACACTGGTATCAATCTTATCTAACTCTTGGCACTTGTTGTTTCATGTACAAAAATATACAAAATAATGACTCAGTCATAATGAAAAACAATGTTTTAAAGTGCTTTGGCATCTCTTTTTACCTGAAGCTGGTTTCTTGATGTTGTGTTGCTCTTTACATTCAAGTTTCTGTTCATGACATAATGATGTTCTGCTGCAGCTTCCTTCACCTTTACACTGTTTTTCTCAGGTCTGATTTGCTGCTGTGCTCGTTTCCTCTTCTTTGTGTGGATTGAGTTGTCATTCAGGCTGTTAGAGGCTTTTGGAGCATCATTATTTGTGGCGGTTTGATTGGCCTTTGATTTTACTTTATCTTTGTCACTGAAAGACTTTATCACAGTGGTCTTTTCGGACTTTACCCTGGATTTCTGCTGCAGAGTTTTCTTTTTCGCTCGTGCTTTAGCCGCCTCCTTCTTGTTCCGATCTTTGTTTTTCCTCCGTCGTTTCAATTTATTTTTCTTCCTCTCTTTGTTATCAGGTGATTTCCACTTCGGCGCAGAAGTGCTCCTCGTCATCACACTGGCTGCAGCCGTCGTAGCTTTGACCTGGCTGCTCGTCACCGGCGGTTTGGTGGTGAGTTTGAATTTTCTTGGTGGTGGTCTTGTAGGTTTTTCATTCGTGTCCAGCACAGTCACTGAAATGGTACAGATGTCATAAGTAGCCATTTTCACCACCTGCTTTACTCATTCACTTCTGCAGCCACCAAAACTATTTTCACTCAGTCTGAAATTTGCCTTTCGAATTGTTTTTTCAACATGTGCAAACTGTAAAAATGACAAATGATGCTTTAAGTAGAAGAATTGATAAAAAATGCAGAGGTAAACTTACGTTCCTTGGGCACAAATGGAAACTTTTTCCCCTTCACTTTGACAGGCAGTGGCTTCTGCTTACATTTCCCCGGAGGAGCTCTCCTGCAGAATAAGTTGAAAAGTTAACTTCTCACTTCTCACCCTCCGAGAGTTCGCAATGAGTCCGGGACAGACCAAAACACCAAAAGTAGCGCTACCAAGGGCAAATTGTTCCACAGATGGGAAGATGTATTTTAAAGGTTTAAAGTTTAAATTCATTAGATTTAAGTCCAAATATGATACAAAGGTAAAGAACAAAGGTAATATGATAAGTATGATAAGCTGATATATATACACTACCTGGAGGGATCCATAAATTTGAAAACGGTTCCGTAAGGAGACATGGCACTGGGGTGAGCTGTGGCCAGAAAATATAGTTCCCCTAAAAAACAGACAAAGCTTGTCAGTTCTGCTTCACCGGTGAAATCCAGCCCTGAAGACCACAAGAGACTGAAGAAATGTTACCTGCTTCATCTTCAGCGAACGAGATGATGAACTTGTGGTGACGATTGATGAGTCCGGGAAAAGAGCACGTTTTCGTATCACCCATACACACGCTCCTTTCTTTCCAGCTTCCTGTCGTCTTATCTTCCTCTAACGCCATTATTCGACTGCAAAATTGACAAGAATCACTTGTGTTGTTACAACCACGCAACGTGGGTTTATCACGTTTAAGGGCAGGAATTAATCATTCATCTCTAAACTATATTCTTGTGATGCAAAAGCCACTGAAAAAGCATAGATCCATTATGGGAAACAAGAACTCAAACCAAGACTAAGAAGTCGGTACTATTTAGCCTCAAATACTAGGAATAGTTCAACAGTTTGGGAAACAGACGCTTCAGAGGATCAATACCACTCTTAAGCTTTGATGCTAAATATGCAGCCACTTAGCTTAGCTTAGCATGAAGAATGGAAATGGGAGGAAACAGCTAAGTCTTGGTTTTATCATGCGCCAGACTATTTCTTTTGATTTAAGCCAGGCCACCAGCAGGGACGTCACTGCTACCAACAGAGAGATAGTCTAGCACCTGTTTCTGGTCTTTATGCTAAGCTAAGCTAACTGTCTCTTCATCTTTACCGTACAGAGGGATATATTTGAGTGGTATCTTCTTATCTAGGTCTTGTCAAGAAAGTGGATAATAATATCATATTTAGAAAATTCCTATTCCTTTTAATAAAAAGCATCAACCCGATACACCGGAATGACACAGTTTCTTTAAGTGAATTCAAATTATTTTTATTCACATTTTGTAAAAATGTGGCAGTACATAACAAGGGTATACTGTAGGTGTTGCTGAAGTTTTGACCCCTTTAGACTTTTGCTTTTCCCTTTGTGCCAGAAACCTCTACTCTGCAGCACATAAGAAGAGCGGAGTCAAAGACTTTCATCAGGACAAATTAAATGACGGCAGGTACAACAGCTCATACCATTCTTTCCTCAAATTGTAATTCTCAAACATCTTGAGTCGTAACTCTCGAGTCAGGGCTGGAGTATGAGTATAAACCACACCAAGTTAAGCCTCAAGTTAATTCAAGTTGGAACATCATTGAGAATGTATTGATTTTAAAATTGGAAACGCAACAGCTGAAAAAACAAGCCAAAAAACAAAACAAAAAGTCGTTTCCAACAGTAGGAGTAAACTACTTGGCTCAGATCAGCACAATCTTACCCACTCATGAAGTCTCCAAAAATGTATAGGCCATTCAGATTGGGTGATTCACATCCTCTGTACACATATCCCCCAGTCACAGACTTCCCAACATGATGATTATATGCGAATATAGGCAGGATGTCATCTGTTGTGGCAGAGAAAGATGCACTGTTTTTGACTAAAATCTGGAGCATCAGAAATAGATTGGAAAGGGAACATTAAGGCAGAACTAACAGGTGGTGAAAGTATCAATGAGAGAGAAAATAGCATTTGATTTTTAAGTTTCACATGACGAGAAAATACTCACTCGAGGAGTTGTGGCACAGTTTGATATCGTAGCACTCGAAACCCTCTTTGGCCCTCCAGCCGTAGTTTCCTCCCTTCACAATAATGTCAATCTCCTCGTAGCGGTTTTGACCGACATCTCCACAGAATATCCTTCCTCTGCCGTAGCGGCTGACGGGGTCTCCGCGGTCCACAGAGCATCGCCACATGTTTCTGACCCCATATGCATACACCTCTGGCCGGGCATCCGGGTCACCGAGGAATGGGTTACCAAGAGGGATCCTGTACTGCCTTCCACTGGAGTCACTTCCGTCCACATCAATGCGGAGCACTTTGCCCAACAGAGCACTCCTGGGTAGGAAAAATAAGATTTAGCACATGTACCCCGGGGGTACTGAAATACTGATTCGTAACAAGATAGCAAGTAAGCAGAGGGGTGGATAAGTTGTCTAATGGATAACTGGTTGAAATAGAGAGCTAATAGTCAGCTAAAAGTAACAGATACATGGTTGAAATGGTTAGATAACAGTTTAAAGTAATGGATAAAAAGTAGAAATAGTTGCTAAAAGTATAATGTTTAAATGTTGTTAAAAGTAAATGAACAACTTATCTGAAAGTGGTAAATAAATGGTTGAAATTGTTTAAAGTAATGGGTATATGGTTAAAATAAGTTAAGTACTGGATAAATTGTATATCTACATTAATTGTAATGGCTAAAGTAGCAAAAAGGAATGGATCAACGTTTGTTGTAGCTGTAGGTTATTGATAAACAGTTGAAATAGTACGCTTAAAGTAATGGATAAATGCCTGAAATACCAAAAGTAATGGATAAATGGTTAAAATAGTTAGATAAAAGTAATGGGAAACTATTTAAACTAACTTACTGATTAAAGTAATGGAAATGGTTAGCTGAAAATATTGGATAAACAACTGAAAATAGCAACAGGTGATGGATAAATGGTTAAAATATTTAGCTAAAAGTATTGGATAAATGGTTGAAACGGTTAGCTACAAGGGATAAAATAGTTAGCTAAAAGTAATGGATGAAGGATTGATGTCCAGCTTCTGCCACTCTGGTAGTGGTAAGAATAGAAATTTGACCTTAACGATAACAGTTCAAGGGCGGTAGAGGTAGAGCGGGTTGTCCACTAATTAGAAGGCTGGTGATTCGATTCCTGGCTCCTCCGGCTCGTCTGAACCCCAGATACTGAACCCCGCATTGCCCCCCTGATGGCTGTTCCATCAGTGTATGAGAATGAAAATGAAACATATTGTAAAACACAAACAAACTATGATTTAAAAATCGTTCTTTCTGCGTCAGTTCTCACTCTTCCTCACACTTGAAGAATTCTGAAGAACCTTACTTGTTTTGCGCGTTGCCATACTTCCCAAACGGATCCCCGGCTTTTCCACCATCTCCAGTGAAAATGTACAAATATCCATCAAGACCAAACAGCAGCTGGCCTCCATTGTGGTTTGCAGCTGGCTCATCAATCTCTAAAATGACCCTGAATATAAAAAGAATAGTTTAGTCACCTCTAGGTGTGAATATGTGGTTGCCATATTTCATAAGTACGCCCTCAGATCAGCTCTTATCCATCCTCTACATCTTTTACACAACCTTTGTGCAGTAATTATAGGAAGAAGTGGTACCAGAGAAGGCCTGAGGGGGGTAAGACGCAGATATGGGGTCATGCTGATCGTTTTTGGGGAGGGTTTTGACACCAAAACAGTTGGGGTGAATGTTCGTCGGAAATATGACTGTTTGCCTTCAGGCAGAGTTGGATGTTCAGACTGATACCACTTACGTGTCTGTCTGTTAAATATGAAGCTACAGGCAGCAGCTGGTTAGCTTAGCTTAGCATAAAGACTGAAAACAGAGGGAAACAGCTATCCTGGCTCTGACCCAAGGTAACAAAATCAGCACATCTGATTAGTTTGTTTGCTTAATTTGGAAAAGTTTTGATTTTACCTTTTTGGTTTTAAGCTAAACATGTTATTTTTTTCAGTTAAGCTTTGTACCAATGAAACAACAGAGATATAATGTGTTAATTAGTGAGCTTTAGATGTGTTAGAAGGACTTTTTTTATCTTTGGAAAGACTAGGATGGCTGTTTAACCTTATGCCAAGCTAAGCTAACCAACCACTGGCGGTAGCTTTGTTTACTGTGAAGACATGAGAACAGTATTGAACAGTATTGATCCTATTTCCTATAACGTCAAAGTATTCCCACAAATTGTGTAGACTGTACCTCATATTGTAACAAATAAATGTTCAGGGACTGCATTAATTTATCTGATGCAGCTTTTGTGTACTTCTTTTTTTACATGTGCTTTCTCCTGTTTATCATTGAGTGATTTTAATTGTTGCACATTGAAAAGTTGAGTTTAAATCAGGGCCTCAGGAAGCTTGGGCCAGCTCTTAAGTATGATTCACTATTAAATTCAGAACATGTTTATGCAAACTTTAGTACAATTACAGCCCAGGGGGTGGATGATAATATAGTCCTATATTTCTGTCAGTGGTAAGTGCAGTTGTTGCACAGCCATAAAAAGGAAACCTCCCACCTGCGTACCTCTCTGAGTAAGGATCAGCCATGTTCATGTCGTAGTCAGACACCTTCATCTCACTGATTCTGACTTTCTCCAGCTTGCTGTTGACCTGGATAGAGTAGTAGATGAAGAAGCGTCCATTGTCCCGGTACTTGGGGTGGAACGCCATGCCCAGGAAACCCCTCTCATCCCCCAGCCAAGGTGTGGTCAACACCTCCCCGCTCATGTCCAGGAAAGGCTGCTCCAGCCGGCTGCCGTCACGCAGGTAAACCCACACGAATCCCACCTGTTCAGCGATGAACATCCGGTGTGTGTCATCACCGCTGTGCAACATCAGGACAGGGTTCCTCAGATTGTTGGCCACCTCGGTTAGGCACAGCTGGAGACAGCCTCTGGGGTCTTCCACCACCTGCCCCAGGTTGGTGTTGAGGTCAGGGCTCTTCAAAACATTGGGGTAGCAGTAGTCCTGGTCCGACAGGTCGGCCACACTGCAGAACGTGGACACGTCTCGCTCGGCGGTGTCCTGCAGCAGCTGGTTCTCAGTTAAATATCTCACCACATGGCGACATTTGCCATGAAACTCGGAACAGTAGCCAAAGCAAAGCCCAGGTAGCTCTCTGACAGGTGTGTATGGGTCCTCAGCATCATAAAGGTGGGCGGCATAAGGAGAGCACTCCTGGAGGGGGACAAAGACGAGACACTACTACGAGACACTTGGGCTGACTGAAAAACAAAGCAATTACAACAGAATTTGTGGTTTTCAAAAAAGGGCATTTCAGCAGTCGTTCCCTTATAGACTCCCCCACTGTTAGATTCATTTCATAGCTATAGTATATCTATAGTAATCTAATTTCAAGGTGCTGTCCTGCAGTGTTAGTTAAGTCTGTATTTAATCTTATTCCAATGATATCATCATTCTTAACATTATTTATTGCCATCAAAAGTTCACTCCAGCTGTGTGGATTAAATTAGACAAAAGAAGGGGAGAACTGTAAATTAAATTAAATCAAAGTTGTATAATGCCTAGACCTTGAACCCTTTACAAATGTAGGTATAACATAAGTAGATGATGGCTTCAATTAGATAAAACTGAAATCAATTAAAATGTTGATAGGGAGTTGTGGATTGTGATATCCAGATAGACAGTTTAGACTGTGCTTTACAAACATGGATCTATATGAAACAACAGTGAACAGAGAAATGTTTTATTTTGTGAAATAACTTGGTTCCATCACAATAGCATCCTCAAAGGCACACAACCCAACTTTTAGAGAAGAACATATATTCACCTGGCACATGATTTCCTTCAACATATCTGAACAGAGCTCAAGACCCGCCACTTCCAACTGTTCAACAATGTCCCAGTATCTCTCCGCGATCATGTTATCCATTTTCTGGTCACAGCAGCCGAACTGCTCGTACTGCGTGCAAAACTCCAGGTGCCAAGGAGGTTTGAAAGGTGGCTCGAAGTCCAGGCACTGAGGATGAGCTGATGCTGGCTGGACCGGGACGAGTAACATCACTGACAAGATCAGGATAAACTCGGGAAGGCTCGGGGTCTTCCTGGATGAGATCGGACCTGCAGCAGCGCGTAAAGCCGCGTGGTCAGTTCCGCATGGATGGAGCGCAGCATCCCGTGTGCTTGTCATTTTTGCCGCGTGCCCCCGAAATATTTCAACTGTTTGCTCTCCTTTAAGTATGAGCCGGTGTGCACGTGAATGCGTATGTTGCGTGTGCGCAAAAGCTGAAGCTGGAGGTGCCTCCCCGCAATCAGCCCCTGCCTCATTTGCCCCCCTCGCCCCACGCCTCGCCGCCTGACTCCAGCCAGGTGAAAACGCACCTTGTCGCCAGTTCTGTCTCCCATCAGGCCAATTAGTCGCAATTAAAACAAAACACTTTCCTAATGAAGTTAATGGATTCATGTTTTGCTCTCCACCACAAACTGTGGTTGTCAGAACCCCAGCGAAGTTGGCAGACAATTACAGGCACACACATAAACAGGGCACAGTGTCGAGACATGCACACATCGAGAGGCAGTAATTTTGTTTAACATTCACGTAAAAGCGCCTCCAGGCAGCTGGCTGTTTGTTGGTCGCGGCTGTGCTTCATCCTGCACATCTACTGTCCCAGCATGTCAACTCTACTATTTGAATACACAGGAAAAGTGTCTGTCAACAGTTTGTCCTGGTGCCAAGAAAAACAAAAAGGGGCTGGAAGAGGCATCCTCAGCAAACGTCATAAGAAACCACACATGTATTCAAGACTAATAACAGTCCTAATTGTGATGGGATATTGAATAGCCTATTAGGTGTAGACCCATGTAAATTAGCCTATAAGTGATCTCGGAAGTATTACGGTTCTTCTTAGTGCAGTGCAACCTGAATAAAAAATAGATGTTTATTTATCTAAATAAATAAATAAATTCCGGATTCTTACAAGCACCAGTAATATTTTGTTTTATCATGTTTACTTAAAGCTTTTTAGGAAGTATGCATCACTAGAGACGATATTAACTGACATTGCAGGGCCTTAATAAATAAATGCAAAATATCTGACAGTCTAATCCATGATATTCCTTAAAAGGAGGGATGCTTTCAACTTTTTTTTGTTCTTTGAAATTGTAAAATTGTACAGAATTATTGTAATTCAACACACAATAACTTTATTAAATAAGCCCGAATGCTGTTGGAATCATCACCCACAGTAAGACTATACTTCCTAAAATAGAGACCAATAAATTACATTATCTATCCTTTCATCGTGGGTGCAATGAAGAATACGCAAATGAAGTTGCAGCATTTGTCCAGCAGGTGGCAGCACCCAGTTTACGAATGCCTCAGAAAGTCAACCAGGAAGCGGAACTTCGTCATTTCTTTTTATTTCGCATTTGTTTTGGTGAAGAGAAACCAGTCAAGGTAGTTAAAACAAAAAGAGATTACACTTCCGCCTGGACACTTCATCTTAAAATATTTTTGACGAAAAAAGATTTAATGATACGTAATTTAATTCACAACAGATTAATAAAATTACGATTACTATTAACAAAGTGAATATATGATGTGTTTTTGTCTTATTTACGACGAACACTTACTATTTGTTTTGAAAAATACACTTTCTAGTTTATTTTGAAGGCTTAATCTGTAGACTTCCGGTCGCATTTTAGCTAACCGTGTTTAACTTGACGCGCGGCGATAAGGCGCTGCCAAGTCGGGTATCAAAATATAATTTGTGTAACGTAACCTATGCAGCTAAAATCCACTGCCATGGCGCCTTAGAGGATTGGAGGGAGACACGGTTTCATGCTCGGTAGGTGACCGGAGTCAGTCTACTTTACGCCGTTGAGCCGAGACGCTGCGCCCCGACACACAAACGGCTGTGTGGACGCTGCTACAATGAGCTCGGAGCAGCAGAGCGCGAGCGAGGACGCCGACGAGTCGCAGGACAGGCCCAACGGTGGTAGCGTCTCCGACAAAGAGGAAGACCCTGACATCGACGAGTCGGAGGAGGAAGATGACATCGCTCGGGGGGTTACACCCTCGATGCCCGGGAGCAGCGGAGACCGGCCGGAGCGCAGCTCAAGGTCCCCGGCGTCGGAGGACCGGGAGCCCCGTGGCGAACCGACCGCCGCGCCGCAGACAGGGAGCGGCGGGGTCTCCGGCACCGACACAGACAGCGGCAGCGGCAGGGGGAATAGTCTGTTTTCCTGGCTGCAGAGCAGGACTATTAGACGAGGGGTGTTTGTAGACCCAGCTAGGGATAACTTCAGGACAATGACCAGTTTGTACTGCTCCATGAATCCGGCTGTGGAGTCTGTCAACCTGAGCACACAGACCCACGGTGCGGTGTTCAACCTGGAGTACTCCCCGGACGGGTAAGACGAACATTTGTGGCGGGTATTTGAGGCCTTTCACCTGGAGCTCATGTTCACAGGCTTTACTGGAAAAAGTATGAAATGTGAAACACTGGATAAGTGCTTGAAATTCAACATCAAATTCACCCTCATGATGCTTCATCTCACCGGTTAAGTTAAAGCCACAATCTGGCAATTTAACTAAATCTAACTGACAACCAAAACATGACAATTTCAAGTTCTTAAATTTCTCTGAACAAAACCTTTTAAAAGTCTTGCAAAAGCCCCCTCACAGCAAACACAGCTAATGAGGGTGCAAGCCTCAGTGACCAGACAGCAGATGTAGGAAATAAATCCTGCAGCCAAACCAGGTCAAGCTGTGTCCAGACTGGATCAGATGCTGTTTGCGGGCTCATGTGACAGCAGGATCAAACACACATCCTTCATACACAGTGAATATTAGTCTTTCCAGGAAATTACACCTTAGCGGGAGATTGAAAACATCCTGATGAACATGCTCATCCTCGGATTCTCTACATCTTTGATCTTAGATGAGAAAAAGGATCTCATCTCCATGGCACAAAATTAATAATTGCATTATCACAGTTGCTTTTGCATCACAGATCAGTTCCTTATCTGGGTGGATTGCTTTACGCTTTGAAAAGCAGGGTGTCATTATAATAAATCATCTTTTCATTTATCTCTGGGTGTGTCGTTGATCCAAGACGGGTGAAGTCTGCCCTCAAATATAAGACGATTAAAGTTTCTTCTGTTAAATGTCCAAACAGATCAACTCTCCTCCCCTTATGTTAATGAGTGTGTTTGTTTTGTGTGTCTGCTGTGCTCAGGTCTGTGCTGACTGTGGCCTGCGAGCAGACTGAAGTCCTGCTGTTTGATCCCATCTCATCCAGACACATCAAAACCCTGACGGAGGCCCACGAGGACTGCGTCAACAACATAAGGTGCATTTCTATCATCTTAAATCACGCAGGGAGGGTTTACGAAGAAAGCACCCTGCTTCGTCTTTATTTGTCTAGCCCAGTAAAAAAAAATAATTTAAGTGAATGTCCTTCTAGATTCATGTCCGATGAGAGTCTAAATCTGTCTACCTCTGCAGGTTTCTGGACAATCGTTTGTTTGCCACCTGCTCTGACGACACCACAATTGCATTATGGGATCTCCGTAAGCTGAACTCAAAGGTTTGCTCCTTGCATGGCCACGCTAGCTGGGTGAAAAACATCGAGTACGACACCAACACTCGTCTCCTCGTCACGTCTGGCTTCGACGGCAACGTCATCACATGGGACACTAACAGGTTGGTCATCAGTCACAGGAAGTGAACTTTGAAAAATATGAAAATGTTTTATTTACAAAAGTCAAAAGAAACTTAAGCTCTCGTGTTGTGGTGGTTTTATTTTTTTATTTTTTCAGGTTTTATTTAGAAATATGTTTTCATGTATCTGGATGTAAGATAATGTTTATTATTGGCTATACACAACATTATCTTGATTTTATGATATCATAAGGCAACATTCATTGATTGATTATCATAAAACCATTGATTATCATAAGACATTTCAGTAAATCCTCTGTCATTTTCAGTAAATACAGAAAAATACATTTTTATCTCATAAATTGGAGTCAAAATCCCACCAGTTGTACCACCTGGAGAATGGTCTGTTGTAACGGTGACGTCATGCTGCACCAGCAGCTGCACATAAAAACTCCAACCAATACATCACTGACTTTTTAACAGGCTCTCTCTTCATCACTCCATCAAACAAAAAAACGTGCCTTTACAGGTTTTAAGGTGGATGAATGGGATTTTTGGCTGTAATTCAACCCTGAAAACTCAGTTTTAACCAATGAAGAACTGCTCAGAGAGGATGGATCTAAAGTTTCTGTAATTTGTGACGAATCGTTTCACCTTGGCTCATTTGTCTCGGTCCAGACCGGCTTGTTTTTGAGCAGAGACTCCCTGCATTACGTCCGATAGTGATCAAACCTTTTCCAACCGTCTCTAATTGTGTTTCCTCTTCAGGTTTACGGAGGATGGCTGCCCGCACAAAAAGTTCTTCCACACTCGCTACCTGATGAGGATGCGTCTGACGCCCGACTGTTCCAAGATGCTCATCTCCACTTCCTCAGGGTACCTGCTCATCCTGCACGACCTGGACCTCACGCAGTCCCTCGAGGTGGGGAGCTACCGCATGCTGCGAGCGCGACGGACTCCCCTCAGCTCAGGTCAGATCACGCTCTCTGGTTGCAATAAAGAAAAGAGAAAAAAAAGAAACCTGACCATGTCTCACTTATGTTTTTTGTCATTTAAATTTTTGTTCATTTTAACATATCAACTCACCAACATACCAATTAAAAAATTACCCCCCAGCACCACACAATTCTTACATATATGCATAGACGCTCATATATTCTATATTATTTTTTATTACTAAAAAAATTCCCATATATTTTGTGGGTTTCCCTTGAATCTTTATATTTTCTTTTTGGTTTAATTTTTTTACTTTATTCTTCTTACAGTTGATTCCTTTTTGTTAACTTTGCAAACATTTTAGTGCTAAAACAAGTGACTTATTAGTCAATTAGTTTATTAAGAAATAATAAATCAGGTCTTTTGAAGGTTGAGCAATTGTTTTTAATCTTTCGATCAGGTCAATATATAAAGAATTTGCTGATTACAGTTTGATAGATGCAAAGAATTGATTTTCTCCATCTGATATTTTTGTTCTGATGTTTTAAGGCATCACCTTGGTCTCTGTTGACTTACTGATGTTTTTGTTGACTAAATATTAAATTGATCACTGTTGTTTTCAGTTTAAAGAAAATGACTTTTGACCCTGCTGTGATTCTGTAGATGGAGGCACATCAGCGTCCAGGTCAGCTGGAACTCCTCGCCAGGGAAACGACTCCAGTAAGATCCACCCTCACAGAGAAGGTCAGGCGCTCGTGGTATAAAGCTGAATTACTAATGAGGTTTTTTTTTTCTAGATTATAAAATGACCACGAGTCTTTCTTTTCTTACAGGTCTTTCTCCCCGGAACAGTCTGGAGGTTTTGACTCCAGAGATCCCCGGAGAGAGGGACCGAGGGAACTGCATCACCTCCCTGCAGCTCCATCCGAAAGGCTGGGCCACGCTCATCCGCTGCTCCAGCAACATGGACGACCAGGAGGTGAGAGGACGTTCAGCCGTCATCTCAGAGCTGTGTTACTGATCAGGGCCAGTACTTGCAAAGCATTTTATTCTCTTCACAAAGCTGCTGAGACCAACTTTTAGTTAGACCAACCTCAGTGATTGGTTGATGATGACCAGTGTGTGCCGGTGATTTAGATGTTCACAGAAATCGTATGAATTGTCCTGTCCTGGCTTTTCTTTGTTGCCAAATAGCGCGGCGTTGCCAAACACTTAATTTTTAGGAGATGTTATTGTAAGTTTTCCAAACTACTGCGACGTGGAATGACAGCAGCCAGTTTACAATCCTTTATGATTTGGTCTTAGTGCGTTAGGAGTTCTCTCCACTACTTCTACCTTCTCCAGTAGGAGTCCTAAAGTTAGGACTGACACACCCATCATTATTAGGAGTTTCTCTTGAATCGGCAGGTAAGGAGCAACTTTTAGCCTTAAGACGCTTTGTGAATACGGACCCTGGTCCTCAGTTTTCATCTCTCTCTTTATGTTTTTACAGACCTGAAAACAATTTAGAGACTTCTTTTTATACATCTAATATGTAATTTCTGACCTCTGTTGACCTCTGTTGGTGGTGCAATACCATAGGAATTGCATCATCATTGTTACTTGGAACTTAATAGCACACTGCACCAAAACATCTATTTATTGACCTTGAAAATCCTTCAGTTTGCCTGAACTGTGACGTTTGAAGCAACTGACACAAAAAAAGCTGTTTCAGTTTCACTCTCAAAGTAGCTTCATAGACAGTGAATATTAGGTGTCTGTCACATACTCTAGTGATCAATAATCATAACGATGAATTGTCTTTTTTCCTGACTTTCAGTAGAGATGCCAAAGCAGTTCTTTTTAAAAGACTTTACTTTGAAAAATATGAACATGTTTTATTTACAAAAGTAAAAGAAACTAAAGCTCTCAAGCCTCGTGGTGGTGGTTTTATTTTGAAATATGTATTTAATTTAAAAAAAAAAGAAAACAATAATATCCAATAGAATTTAACAGAAATAAATGTGTCTTAATGTAATGTAATGTAATGTCCGAAAAGGAACCAGAGGAAGAATTTTTCTGCCCCCTCTCTAATGTTATATGTAGTTTAAACGCAAGCGGCTCTACTAGGAACTTAGTCTAATTATAACAGTCTCAAAAGAGCAAAGTTTTATTTTAAATCAGAAATTATCTGATTTAAAAAAAAAAAAAACCCCACAGGATACAAATCTGATCAAACATTCAGTGCTAGTGTTCAGTAATTGTCAGGTTACAGTACTTGAGCTCATTTCACGCGGCACTCGCTCAGAGATCAGATGCACAGATGATTAAATTAGTTTTTCGTCTTTATCAGGGTTTCAGACTCTCAAACTGTCAGTTATCTGTCAGAGTTTTGCAGTGGTTTGAAGCTTGTTGGCGCTGTTTGTGGAGTGTGTCCCTCTTTGTACTTTTTACGTCTTAATTCATTTTCAAATAATGTCACTAGGAACAAAATATGACTAAGTTTGGTCACATTAAACCGTTTTAAATACAGTTTATTTACAGTTTGTCCTCAGTTCAGTTCAGTCCACCGCTGATTATGTGACCTGCTGTTCTCATCGCCAGTGAAAGTCGACTGATGGCTGGTTGGAGTCACTGTGGTTTTCTTTCCAGTGACGACACCATGATGATTGATGCTTTCGGGAGCTGCTCTGACACTGACTCCTTCCCACTACACTCTCCTCCATCCTTTCTCCTCTCTCTCTCTCTCTCTCTCTCTCTCTCTCCAGTGGACGTGCGTGTATGAGTTCCAGGAGGGAGCGCCCACTCGCCCGCTCGTCTCCCCCCGCTGCTCCCTCCGCCTCACCCACTACATCGAGGAGGCCAACGTGGGGCGGGGCTACATCAAGGAGCTGTGTTTCAGCCCGGACGGACGGCTCATCTGCTCACCGTACGGCTACGGCGTCCGCCTGCTGGCCTTCGACGAGAGCTGCGGCGAGCTGGCCGACTGCCTGCCCGTCCAGACCAGCTGCCTCAGGGAGATCCGCTCCATCTACTCGCACAGCGACGTGGTGCTCACCACCAAGTTCTCCCCAACACACTGCCAGCTGGCCTCCGGCTGCCTCAGCGGACGCGTGGCCCTTTACCAGCCCAAGTTTTAGCATCCAGCGCTGTGAAAGAACGGCGCGGCGCAGACCTGGGTAGAGAAGTCCTGATCGGGATTCCTGCTCACACCTGGAAAGTCTGGAAAGAGATTGAAGAAGCAGTTAGTGTTTTCCAGGTTTGATAACTTTGAAAGTTGCACAAAAAAATCAGTCAAAATATTGCACTGCCTCAATATATTGTTTGTACAACTAAATATTTTCTATGATTTTAGACCCTTGTCATTTAATATATGCAGATATTTGTTGTGCAGAACTAGTATTTATCCACAGAGTGATATGAACTCTTTATGAATTATATCAAAACCATCAGAGGAAAATCTTTTTTAAATTCTCAAAATGTAGGAACCCTTAATAACATTTCCCAGCATTTGTTCTAAAGTGCTCAGAGGACCAGATGGGTGGGATTTATGCATGCAGATATTTCAAATAGTGTGACACATGATCTAAATGTCAGTATTCTTGGAGGCTTTTAAGATGACTTTAATATACTTATTTTAATATTTTTCTGAACCCTCAGCCAGACTGTAGGTAATGAAAACCCCATCCATCTGGCACCTAACGGGGAGAAAGTAAACCTAAAATAACAACAATATTTGAAGCACTTCTAGACCCAGGTCTGCAGCTGTGAAGCAGACTCCAGTTTGTTTGGAGGAAAGAAAAGAAAAAGAAAAGACTTCAGCTGTGGCCTCCTGACCGGGCTGCAGCAGTGGATGGAAACATTCAGCCTGTCTGACCCTAAACACAAAAAAGAGACTTTGAGGCAACAAAAGATAAAAAAAAAAAAGGGGCAGTTTGGTTTTTGCAAACTAGACTTCCATCCAGACTGAGGAGAGAGCTCTTGATCGTCGAATCAAGAGATGCAACAGGCAAACTCTGCAGGTCGTCTCTGGCTCTTTTTCATACTAAAGATTAATTTTGGTCTCTATAGCAGTAGAAAACTCTGACCTGTTTGGAGAGACTCGGCACATCCAGATGTTGCTGTCTTGGGACAGGAAAAAAAAACAAAACAAAAAAAACAACAAAAAAAAAAAAAAACACTAAGGATGCAAAACAGACACATGACTCCATTAATTCTAAAGAGACAAAGAAGAAACAGGCGCCCGTGTCCCGTCGTCTGCGCTGTCGTTGATCGTCCTGACGCTGCGGATCGTGTCGCTCTCAGCTGCTCCGCTCTGCTCATGCCTTTTTTCTACAGGTGCTGCTTCTCTGCTCATACAATCTGAACTTTGACCCCCACCCCCCCCACCCACCCTCCGCCCCCCGCCCCCTGACTTACAGGACCTCATCATCAACGCCTTTCTTCGCTCATGGACGGTGGCTTCTCCACTTCTCCTCTTTCCTCTACTTTTTTTTTTTTCCCATCTCCACCCTGTTTTCACCTTCATGGCCGTTACAGTTTTTAAAGGTTTTACTGGTTTATTAACGTCAGCTCTTCTTATACCATGGTGTTTGATTCATTTGACCCTGAGGTCACTTTTGTTACACTGAAATTACTTCTCATTTCTTTCTATAATTTGTGTGTTTTAATCTTGTTCTCATGAATGGAAAGTTCAGCTGCTGTCACTGTCTTAGTTTTCCCACCCTGACATTTCCCAGATCTACTTTCTTTACAAACCAGTATTGCAAAGATTTCCAGTGAAAACAACAACAGTCATAATCACATATCTTTTCCCTAAAAGATAAGGCTGGCATTGTTCTACATTTTTGATTTACAGAAAGGACTTCCTGACTTCTGTGGCCTGGCTGTGGCGCTCAGCCTGAGCGCACTGGTTCCCTCTGCAGTTATAAATCTTTAAAAACACAAATCTGTAGATTCACATTTTAAAACAAAAGGCTCAGTAATTTCCTAACACAGCTGGGCACTGTAGTTTTTAGCAACCAGAACTCCAATTAGGAGCAAAGTTGCTGGGGACTACTTTCAGCAGCGGATTAATACACATTTGGAGCACTAGTGAGTATTTCAGCAGCAGGATAGTGTATGTTGGATTAAATTTAAAACAAAAAAAACTACAGTGCCCATGTTCACAGTAATGAAGGGAAATGTCAGCCAGTGCAACACAGTGACTCACTGTGTTATTTGACAGGACAATGGAGCGTTGTGCCGCACCGATAACGCTTGTTAGAATCAGCTCGTTGTTGCTTTTGGTCTTTTCATTGAAATTTTTTCATAATGAGAAAATGTAGAAAAAGAACTGCCAGCCTCGTCTTCGGTGGCTTGTTGAGTTTTTAGCAGAAGAATCTGCCTTCGGGAAATTGTTTTGTTTTAAATCTTTTCCGGATTGTTGCCAAGAAACATTTGTCTCGTTTTTCTGACCTTGTACCTCATTCTGAAGAGTGCGTTGATTCACGTCAGTATTTGATTCTTTTTCCCCTCACCTCACCCAATCTCCTAACTTTTACAATGTTGTCATAAAGGTGACCAAACAGGCTTTTGTTTTTTCTCTCTCTCTCTCTCTTTAATTTCTTCTCTACGTAGCGAACGGATTGCTTTGACTGTTGATGCTTTGTGTTTGTGACCAGTGTAGTATAGCTGCTGTAAGAGCCAAGCACACGTGTGGATGTTGATGTAAACTGGTGACAGAGCTCACTCACTGACTGACTGCAGAATAGACAATAACGTGCTGTTGCGTAAACAATAGATAGACATAAGCGTATACTACTATGCATACCAGCCTTTATGAAGATTCTCCTTTTCTTATTTATGCGAGGGTGGTGCTCGGCGTGGAGCTGTCAGATGCCAAAACATGTTTTTTGCGTGGACAAGGCGGTGCGTCTCCTCTGTGGTGAACTGTGAGCTGAGAACTAAAGGTGAAAGTCTGCTCTTATGGATTTAAAAAAAAATAAAAATGAAAAACAAAAAAACAAACTCTTTACATGTGGCAAAAGCTTAAACTTTAAAAAGAATTGTTTGACATTTTGGGGAATACGCTGAGTCGCTTTCCTGTGGAGAGTGAGGAGAGGAGAGAGTGGCGGCGGCGGCGGACCACGTGAAGTCGGAGGCTGATGTGAACGGTTCTTCCCGCTCGGCTGTAGAGACGATGTGGGAGAAAGTGTAATAGACGTATTTTCCAAAAATGTTTTGAAAATAGAAATTAAGTTATGGAGAAATGACTTTAGATTTGAGGTGATAAGATGAAGTCACGACATGGTCCTGTATGTAGGAGGAAGGATGCTTTTAACACTTTGTACCTCAGTTAACTGCTCAAAATGTGTGTTGTTCAGTATGTCACAAACAGAGTCCATTTCACTTTCAGTTCAGTCAATTCAGGGACTTTTTTTCTTCTCAAACATCAAATCTCTGGAGTTAAAGGCATTAAGAAATACTCAAGAATGGTTTCATCCATCGACTGTTACGTTTATAGTCTTTTTCTTTGTTTTTTAATTGACTGAGCTTAAGGTTAAATGACCAGCCATGCTGTATATTCACTGCTGCTTTTATTTCACGTATATTCACAAGCTCTTCGGAGAGAAGTGTCTTATCTGCCATTTTCACTTCAGGTATAGCAACTAAAAAAAACCGGGTTAATTTTTATGAATTTGTTCTTTTTTTTGTTGTTTTGTTTTGTTTTGTTTTGTTTTGTTTTGTTTTGTTTTGTTTTGTTTTGTTTTGTTTTGTTGTTGTTTTGTTTTGTTATGTTTTTGTTTTGTTATGTTGTTGTTTTGTTTTGTTTTGTTTTGTTTTGTTATGTTTTTGTTTTGTTTTTTGTTTTGTTTTGTTTTGTTTTGTTGTTTTGTTATGTTGTTGTTTTGTTTTGTTGTTTTGTTTTTTTTGTTTGTTTGTTTGTTTTGTTATGTTGTTGTTTTGTTTTTTTTGTTTTGTTTTGTTATGTTGTTGTTTTGTTTTGTTATGTTGTTGTTTTGTTTTGTTTTGTTATGTTGTTGTTTTGTTATGTTGTTGTTTTGTTTTGTTTTGTTTTGTTTTGTTGTTTTGTTATGTTGTTGTTTTGTTTGTTTTGTTTTGTTGTCAGTCCTGTTCCTTCGTTTTAACCTGTATCCTGTTGTGGGTTAATTGAATGTTCACTGTCGTTCTGTTGTTACCTGTGCACCTCACGGCTGGGGGGGGTGGGGGGGTGGACAAGAGACAAAAACAATGTTGAATTGCTCGCACTGTTGTTTTCCTACATGGCTACACACAGGAAGTAATCCCGACAATGATACTAAAACGGTACTTATTATCACTGAAATAAAAGGTTAGCTTCTTTTGCACTGCTGACTGTTTGGTGTTTGGCTCCAGTATTTTTTGCTGTTCAATATTTTTTTATTTTTTTATTACAAAATTGAATTTTCACACATGCAGAGATGAGAGTTTACCACTAGGTGGCAGTCAGTCATGGACAATGAGTTTTAGGGGTTTATTTCTTCAGATCTTTGGATTTTTTTTGTGCATATTACTGGATAATTTCACCTCTTCAGGCTTTTAAAAATTATAGAGATTTAATAAAGGATGACTAGTTTACTGATTCATCTGGTCACAGCTTGTAGACATGAACAGTCGCAAGTACACACAGTTTTGTTTCAGTGGATTGAAGTTTTTGGAACAAACCCTTTAGATGATGATGACCTCTGACCTCTCGCAGCCCCTTGTCACAGCTTGTGTACAGTAACTCTGTGAGCTGTGAACAGTAAAACCAAAGAGTGATTTGACTTGTATTTTAAGTCTTGCAGATTCCAAACACTCCTGTTTTTCACAATAAAACAAGCAAAGATTAAAATGATAACGTCCTGCCTCTGGATGACAATGTCCCGTCAGTCCACTATTTTGGTCATTGTCATGAAATTTTGCAGAGATGTTCGTGGTTCCCAGATGATGGTTCCTGATTATTTTGGCGATCCTCAGACTTTTCATCTAGTGCCTCCAGCAGCTCAAATATTTCACTTATCCACTGAAATATTTCACCATCTTCTGGAGACATTCACGGTTTCCAGAGAATAATTCCTACTTTTTTTTATCACTCTTATGTGTCTCCAGTAAAATTAAAAATGATAAATCCATTTTGATTTAAATATTAGTTTAAGTCAGTAGCTTTCCAGAGCTGTTGTTTGATTCCCATCTGATGTCACACGGATCACTTCCTGAAAAAAACACTAAAGTATGTTGAAAGTTTTGCATATAAACTGTAAAAGCTGAGCAGAGATTTAGACGCTGGAATACAGGTAACACAAATAAGGAATATTTATTTGAAAGTTTATGGTCCTGTTGGACTTCAGTCAAACAAACAGATGCAGTGTTAGAAGAAAAAAAAAAAAACATGACACACATCAGACCAGCTGACACTTAAATCCTCAACTCAGTCTCTTCACAGATGCGTAACAAACGCCGCAGCTTCATCCGCTATCATGAGGAACTAAACAGATGAATAGTTTCATGAATCACTCCAGGATGCCTGTCCATAACTGTTTATTTGTCCTTTGTCCTCTAAAAAGTTCCATAACTTGTTTGTGCAACTTTTTAGAAGTTATTTTCAGCTTGTATCTTTGTATTTGTATAAAAACCCTGTTTTTACTTTATGCATCTTGTCAACTTTTGCAGGAGTTTGTGTGACTGTCATGGAGGAATCGGTCAGCACACACAAATGTAAAGCTGTTGAATTTTTTTAAAGGATTTTAAAGTTGAAACTTCAGATGCAGGTGTTTTAAAACTGTCTGCATGTCTCGATATCACTGGAGCTGTGTAGAGGAATATGTTTTTTGTCGATTGGGAACAGTCGAAACCCAGATGGCATTTTTCTCATCATGGATTGAACTTCTTTAACCCCTGATCCAGCTCATCTCTGAGGTTTCTTCAGCCCGTCGTCCCGCTCTCCTCTCATGCTCTCCGGGCTCCAGAGGACCGGGCTCTCCTCCTCTGCAGCAGCTGCTCCTGCAGCCGCTGGCTCTCCCTGCGCTGGTTGATGGCCTTGGTGCTGGCGCGGAGCTTACGGAGCCTGAGGGCTCGGAGACGCAGCTGAAGGTCCTGGGGGATCTTCCCTCCTTTGGCCCGGATGTCCTTCAGCCTCTGAATGGGCGTTTTGGTGAGGGTGAAGTCACAGACGGTGGGATGTGGCTCCGACCCAACCTGGCACCGACGCATGGACGGGAAGTAACCCACGGCCCAAACCACCACCTTGTACTCGCCCGGGTTCAGCAGACGCCAGTAGTCTCCGTCAGCAGCTACAGGAGGTAAATGTGGAGACAAAACCGAAGATTTCAAATCTATTTCTGATTTTTAGCTTCTGTTAATGATTAACCTGCAGGTCCAGAGAGAACAGGAGTCAGCTTGTTGCACTCTGCTGTGGATTTCACTGAGAGCTGTGGCTTTGATGCAATAACACCTGCTGAAGAATATGTGAACATCACTGAGGGCTAAAAATACCTGCTGCTGGTGCAGAAACTGGCAGAAACTCTGCTTCTTCAACAAAAGATTTCTGACCGTCCAGGTTTTCCAGGACAAACGTTTGTTTTACACTGCTGATCAAACACTTCAAATACAGTAGTTTTCCCTCTTTGCACACAGCTGGAACTGTCAAAACACACCATTTAGCTGCACTCGAAATACTGCACAATACAAGACGACAACAAAAACCAAAAACGTTGAGCATCGTCAGCATTTAAGGATTTATTCTTCGCCCTCGATTCTTAAAGAGTCTGTGATCGTCCAGAGATTGTCTCCGCAGACCACATCTCCACCCCTGAGATCTTTTCTGTGAATTCTGTCACTCTCTCAGTTTATTATGCTATCAGTGAAGAAACGACAAAAACAAAAGGGAAGTGAAATGAAGAAAACTGAAAACGAAGTCATGAAATCAACCGGCTGACCTGATCGGATGTCGTGGTTGTGATCCTCCACCTTGATTATAGCATCTGCAATTCCCTGTTTGGTCAGCTTGTCCCTCACCACACCTTTAATCCCTCTGTGAACCTGCGTGAAGACAAAACGCTGCAGTGTCACAACTGCAAACAGCAGACATTTTAAACACTGGATTCATTTGACATCATTGTTTCTCTGGACGGTCGGACCTGCTCCATGTAAACCAGCAGAGACTCCTTGTTGTTCTCCCACTCGATGGGAAGTTCACTGGTGTGAGGGAACTTATCACAGGACAGCTCCACCGTCACCTCGAAGCAGTTGGTGTGCAGGTAACTGAAGTCATTCATACCTGAACACGTTACAGAAAAACAGGCAAAAAAACATTAAAAACAGCTGCTTCAGGAGATGAAAATTTGAATTTATTAGTTTTTTTTATGCATAAACTGATAGAAAGTCTTTTTTTTAAGGTGAAAAAGTAAATCTCAAAGACAGGAAGTAAGACATAAAATACAAATAACTAGAATTTGATCTATCTCTCTTGAGTCCCTGTTTTAAATAAGACTAAAACAATGTGCATACCAACCATTCAATAGTTAGACAAAACTCAAAGTTTAATTCAGCTAAAATGTGTCAGACAAACGTTGTTTTCCACCTTGAAACAACCTTCAGTGTTTTATGTGTGTGGATTAGTGTCTTTTAAATGGGGAAACAACTGAATTTGATCCTCTAGAGAACAACAATTAAAGGTAGTTAATCTCTTTAATCGGCTCAACACTAATTTAAACATTTAAACTTACAAACAGGGAATCTAGTTTTCCTCTAACATTAACTGAAAGCAGCCGACGTCCTCTGTAAAAGCTCCTCACTGAACCTGAACTACATCTTCTGAGGCGGCTCAGGTGGGTCAAGGATTCCCTGCTGGGACTCACTGCCGGGGACGGTGTGCCAGGCTCCTCCGTTGATGATGTTGTTGTGCGACTGGAAGTCCTCGTAGTGGCAGATGCGGCGGTCGGGGTTGGCCATCACCAGGTTAGTGGAGGCGTAGACGGCGGCCAGCCAGCGGAAGAAAGCGTCGTCTGCCGTGGGGGTGTCCTCCTGAGGGGCCCAGTCTCGGGTGCAGTCGAAGGGATACGTCACCACCAGCTCTCCGCCGTGGAGGTTGGCGCTGAGCACGAAGGGAATGTCCTGCATCCAGCTGATGACGGCGCGGGTCTCCGGCGCAACCTGGACATGAAGAGGTCAGATCCTTCACTCCAGTAAAAGTAACAATACATGAATGTAAAATACTCAAGTGAAAGTGTAGAAGTATTATCAGCAAAATGTACTTCAGGTATCAAAAGTAAAACTTGTTCTGCAGTAAAATGGCCCCTGTAAATGACATATTATAATATATGACATTAGATAAGATTAGACTGTTAATACTGATGCTCATACTTTATATACAGTTTGATAGATCAGTCTATTGCTTTCAAAGGGATCCTACAAACAATAACAACACAAATAGCTTGGTTCAATTTGTTTTCTTTTTTTCTTTTTAATAATGGATAATCGTTGTTACATCAGAGTCTCTGTCTTTTGGTTTTATACCTTAGCGGCAACAGAGGAGAATTTTTCACCCTTTCATTCTTAATAATACAACCAGGTGGCACCAAAGTCAGACATTTCTCTAACCCTCCACTTAGTGGCTGAACCTGCTCCGTCTATTGAGTGTCACGCGTATAAAACTACATCTTACAGTAGCATCTTCCTTGGTGTAGTACTCCGGGATGGGGATGTAGTGGTTGGGGACTTTGGATGGATCCGCTGCTTTCTCTTGGGCGTCCCACATGATGTTGTTCAGGTCTGGAAAGTTGTGATTCATGTCGATTCCTTCAAAGCTGTACCGTCCTTCAGCCCAGCCGGCCAGCTCTGACCCCTGCAGCAGATCAGTCAGTCAGAAACATGTATGTATGTATATATATCATGATATCACGCCATCATTTAGAACAAGATTATACTGTCTCCTTTGTGGCCTCCCTACGGTCTCACAAATAATCACATGTGTATAGATGTCAGCCCCCATGAAAGATGAAGATAGCTGATCAGTGAGCAACAGCCTGCATCATCATCATTTCACAAAATGTGGGTTGCAAACTTTGCAAACCTCAAACCTCAACCTCCCTGTCTGCGCTTGACTAATATCCAACCGACTCTCAGTTAAGAACGAATGTTTCACCTCTACATCCAGTTTCAAAAGGTCAGACATCACACTGAGGGAGTTTTACAAACCACAATCCTCCACGTTCATCTAGATCAGACCGTCCTGCCTGAGATACTTCACACAGTCAGGGTTTACTCTCACAGTTAAACAAGGTGCTCTTGTTGGGCCAGTCGATGAATTTTGAAAACGTATCCCAATGTGTTTACAGCAAAATCCGGTTTGTAGTGTTCGCAGTGTCTCCTACACAAAGACACGAGCTCAGTGTCCAACACGGTCGAAACAACCAGTTTACTGACTCTCCTTTAAACATCTTGGGGAAAAATATAAGAAAAAAAGCCATTGACTTTTCACCAGTGTTTCCCAACCTGTGGGCTGCAGCCCCCTGGTGGGCCGTGAACGTATTGCAATATGTTTAATAGCTTCCCCCTGATTCCAGTTCAGTCCTTGAATGTTTGACCTTAAATTTAAAATGAATTAAAATAAAAAGTGCTCTGAGAACGCATTATTCGTCCTCGGTCTTGTTATGTACGGTGGCCCTGAAGCGCAACACACTGCAACTTAAGAAAACACATGCAAACAGACAAAACAAACACACTTCCGTCGTGTTGTCAGTATTTGCAGCTCATGTGTTGATGTGTTTTCTGAAGATGCAGTGCATTGGGCTCTCGTCTCCCGCCAACATTTTTTGAGATTTTTAACGTGGGCCATGAGGTGGCAACGGTTGGGAACCACTGCTCTGCAAGATGTCACTTGAAGCACTCCCCACCTTCTCGTAAGCTGCTTCATATCCGTCAGGGTTCATGGAGGGCAGGAGGTGAATTCGTGTCTCGGTGACCAGTCGTACGACACGCTGGTTGCCCTTCTTGTATTCTCTGCATAAGTACTGCATGAGGTTGAGGACCAGCTCTCGACCGAGAGCCTCGTTCCCGTGCATCCCCGCCACATAGCGAAACTCAGGCTCACCTGCCAAGAGAGAAAACTAGAGAGTCACTTCACCTGCCAAGAAATACATGTGGAGAAATTCATCCTGATGACGTCTGTGCGAAGACAAAACAAACGCGGAGTAACAGTAAAACTGGATTCAAACACTGAAGTCTGGAGTTTGAGTTTGTTCTGTAGGTAAAAGTTAAAACCCAGAGGCACATCAGGAACACATTCAACCTCCCAGATAAAACTTTCAAACCCTTCTGTGTTGTGTTAGGCAACGGCGTGGACCTGGTCTGCAGCACATTTGCCAATAATCACACATGGATTGGCCAGACTTGATGGCAGACATTCCTGAATATAAAGACTCCAAAGACACAAGATCTGCACTCGATACACGAGCATTTCTTGTAACTTCAAAGACGTGTGCGCCCCTGACCCTCTTCTTCTTGGATTTGGCACCAAATCAAACCATGAAACAGCTGATATTTAAAGCTGTTGGCTTTGTTGATGCTTAAATAACCTAAATTCCCACTTTTTCCCCCTCGGGAGTGAAGCTGTTTTCAAATGTGTTTACGCCACTTCTCCGAGAACAAAGAAAGACGAGCTGGAGCTGCACTCCACTTCATTTATTTACATTTATTTTTGGCAGATATACAGCGGCCACAATTCCCTGCATCTGAAGACAGTATCACAAAAAAATCTGGCTTGTTTGGTGTTTTGAATGGGCAGTCTCTAATTTCAAACTGTTATCAGTTTGTTTATACAAGAGAGGCCTTCTCCTCAAGACTCTCCTGACTCCCTGTGTGGTGCCGCTGCAGAGAAACTAGGCTATATAAACACTGGAGGATGTTGAACTGGAACCCTGAGCTGCTGAACTCAGAGCAACTTCAGAAACATGATGAATTCTGGTCCAGGAAGTTCTGGATTTAAGGTTTCGTCTCATATTGGACTCGCAGGAGAAAAGTTTAATCATTCGTACCGAGCTCATGTTTGCCGGGGTTGTCTGAGATCTCCATGACGTAGAGTTTGAAGCCCATGTAGCTCTTCCCGATGGTGTAGATGTGGGTGATGTCCGGACACTCCTCCGTCACAGACTTCATGAGCTGCAGGGTGAAGAGGACTTGTTGGACTGAAAGCCTTCAATGGGTTAAATTTGAACTCTGAGGAAAGTCTGCAAACTGCTAAGACTGTGAGTAAAACCCTTGGCATTAGCTTTAGGAGCAACCAAAGTTACTCATCGTGCTTGCGTGGCATCTCAGCTCTGACCTTTCTCATCTCTTTGTAGTTGTGGTGTCTGAAGTCCAGAGCGTCCTTCGATCCTGGATCTTGCTCTGAGGCGTAGATGTCAGATGGATCTACGAGGAAATAGAACATGAGGTTTGACAGAATTACAATCATGCAACATTTTAAAGGTCCGTATTTTACACACTGTGTTTTATTTTGAAGTGTTGATCCATACAAAGATATATTTGTAGTTTTCTCAATGTAGTTTTACATCTCCTCTCTCAGGCTTCTCTCTGGAGCTCTAGCAATACCAGGTCGGTGAGCCAATCAGAAGAGAGGAGGCTCTGAGCCTCTCTTCTGATTGGCTTACTGTCTTCTGAGTGATCCAATAAAAATTTAGCGGATTAAAGGTAAAACACTCAGAGAAACCAAACCCTGCAAGGTTTGGATGGTGGGTCCAGGTGGGCGGGGCTTTGGGGCAGGGTTGAGGGCGGTGGCTGCTTTGTTGTGACATCACAAAGTTACAGAAGTAACTTACTGACGGCTGGTTTGAAGGCTCAGTTTCTGAATACAGGCTGTGTGCATTTCTCTGTGGACTGAACGCTTTGATACTTTCACAGTATTAATATAGAACCAAGACCTGATCTATAATCAAACAACACATGGACATCTACCTTTATACAATATGGGACCTTTAATATATTAATCAACCCTGAAAACGACTCATCATTACTTAGACTCTCAGTATTTCTGCCTACCGTCAACACGACAGCCGAGTATCTCCGCCCGGAGGCAGATGGTGCCGTTGGGGTACCAGGTCTGTGGGTTGATGCGGATGAAACGTGCGACAGTGGGAACAGGGAGGAGTCCGAGCACCGGAGTCTCTGGATTCTGGTTCCCTTCAAATATCTGTACAATTCAACATAACATCGCTTAGACTCGAACACTGTAGGATCTTCAGTTTCTTGCAACATCGTCCTCATTTGTTTCCATTTCATGTAGTTTTCTCTAACTTTTTTGTTCATGGTACATATTTTTACTTTGGAACAAAACTCTTCAAAATCTGTTTTCCATCTGTTTGAGGTCCAGTGGTCTCGCCTGGTACATTCCTCAAATCTGAAAGTACAGCGAGTAGTTCTTACCGCCTCTACTGTCCCGTTCATGCATCTTTGCCAGTTCACAGAGTCGTTACTCAGCTGCACTTTGTAGGTTTGGACCCAGTCCCAACTACAGTGAACAAGAACAAGAACAAGAAATCAAATTTAAACAGACTTCAGGGCAAAAACAATGTGCTCTGTCTTTGTTGCACAGAACACTGAATTTAAACCACCAGTATATCAAATGAGGAGCTAATTTCCAAAATGCTTTACAGATGCTTGCAATCAGCTTGTCTGCAAATGATTTGTGTTTTCAGTAATTTTGTTGTGTGTTATGCATCTTTCTTTTTTATTTTGGTGGATATTTTTATTTCTGAGGCAGAAACTCTTCAGACTTTGATCCTGATACTACCTGACCTCCAGATGGAGTTTCGGCCTTGCAGGATGACTCCAGTGAACCGGGTGAGGTGGATGGCGTCCACCTCCAGCCACTGGTGCTGGTCTTTGTAGTCTGCACACCAGGCTCCATCGTACATGTCCCCGTCCTCGATGCCAGACTAAAAAAAAACAAACATGTTAAACAGTATTTTCCTTTGTCAACTGCAGAAACCACTAAACTGACTGAAAATGCTCCTATGTGAAGCATTGCCTAACACTTTGGCATTGACCTGATTGGAAAATAATTGCTTTCAGACTGCAGAACAAGGGGGTGGGGGGGTGGGGGGGTGAGGGGGGTGGCAGGGATATTGAATAACACTGCTGGCATTTTGCTTATTATTTCACTGAATTGCTAAGTGACTCTAATCATTGAAAAACGACATAAAAGTGCTCAGCAAGGACACTTTCTACTGCAAATCCAGTCCCTGGAGTTTTATTAGAGTGGAAATTTTACATGCCAATAAAGGCAGAGGAGGAGAAAAAAAGAGATGGAGAGTGTGGTCAACCTACTTCACAATCCATTAGCTTCAGAAATATGCAGTGGAAATATATGGATGAAAATAAAAGAGTGAACGAGTAAGGAAATTAAAAGATATTTTGTAAATCAGCTGATATATTCTGAGGTGTTAATTTGTACATCTTCATACTGAAAACATAACTTCCTGCCCAGTCACAGGTGGGCGGGGCCTAGCCTCAACCAGTCAGGCCCCACCTGAGGCCTCACTGCACCGTGCTCACTGCAGCATGCTACCTGTGTGTAATGACTGACCTTGTCTCCAGTCAGCTGTAGACTGGATGCATTGTTTGTGTAAGTCATGCGTAGTTGTTATAATTACTGCAGTTTCCTTTTGGAATTAACATTTAACTGTTTGATTCAGATTTATTGGACCACCTTTGTGAAGCAAATAATGTTTTCATTTGCCTTGCAGCGACACATCACCTGTGACAGTCGACAGTGAGGTGGAAATCCTTCAGAGAGACAATAAACAGTTGGACATCATTAATTAAAATACATCATTTCTGTACCAATGCAAAGGCTCTTTAGGAAAACGCAACAACTACAGCTGCAGCCAGGTTCTAATGGTATTCATAGATATGAATATTTATTTTGGATTATCTTAATGCTTCTTTACAAACAACAAAATGCGAAGATTACACATGTGCAGCGATGCTTCTGATCTGCCTACATCCTGTCCTCATGAGTTTGCTTCCTGCTTTTCCATCTAAGTGGACGACATTAAAGACCCTTGGGAAAGTGAACAGAAGGTTTCTGGGTAGAAAGTTAAATTAGAGGAATTCTTTAATCTTGTTAGATCACATGAATAAACCAAACTAATCTTTTTGAAACTCTGCACTTTGTGTTTGAATTGACTTTGATCCAGATCTGGACCGACCTGGATATTCAGCCGTCCCCTGTGAGCACCCAGGCCCATCCGCTGGTAGGAAGAAGCTTGGATCTGGCTGTCGTCGACCCGCAGGGACTCAAGGCCGAGGGGAGGACAGTCTGGGAGGAAAATGAAAAGCAATTATGAGATTAAATCTTCTTCGGGTTTTGTCTGTGCCTTTCTGGAGATGCTGATCCTTTGCAGAAACAGCTCTGGTACTGACTGCTGAAGGGTTAAACGCTCGCTCTCTCTCTCTCTCTCTCTCTCTCTCTTTTTCTGAGTAAGCAAACACATGGCTGATGTAACACGAGGTCCCAGAGGTTGTGTGGAATATCTCTAATCATCCTGGGTCAGTTCAGTGGAGGTTTGGAGGCCCTCTCCTCCTGCTGCTCCTCCTCCCCCTCCTCTGCGTGTCTGGAGGAAACTGCAGATAAGTGAATGTGTGGAGTGTTTGAATGTAATTTGAGACAAAGTTTAGGGGCCAAGAGCGTAAAGTCAAACCTTCAGCAGAGCAGGAGGAAGAGAGCTACAGCTGCAGGGTATTTTATGGCTTTGGGAACAAGCAACAACATTCCCATCAATCTCAAACACTACTCGACCTGGCAGGTCAAAACAGCCTCGTCTGTTCTCTTCAGGTCCAGAGACATTTTCACAGCAACATCCTCAAAATTCATTTTAATTATGAAGTAATATTTTAAAGAATTAAGGATTTGATGCTTTTTTCTATTTTCTTTCCATATAAATTTAATATATTTTGGTTCTGGACTGTTTTCTGACAAAACAAGCCAAAAAAAAACACAGCTATATAAAACAATCCTTGCTTATGGTCCTAAATCTGTTATTGAGATGAATCCAAGGCAGGAAAGGTGTTTGAAAAGAGGGTCTGGCTCTTTCTTAAATAAAACTAATTCAAAATAAAAACTATTATTTACTTCCACATATTTAAAGACCCTTTTTATTAATAAACCCCCTGTATTCCCACAAAAAATGTCATGCAAGTTGATTTTTGCGTTACGGGTTTGCACATGCTGAGCTGACCACATCAGAGTTAAAGCAGAGGCTCAGTGGGTCCCTGAAGGCATCATTCATTAATTGCACTTAACTGCTCATTTAATTACCAATAATAGTTGGGTTTAATTAGCTTGAAGTCTCTCTGGCTCCTCACAGTAAAGTAAAAGTGGACCACTTGGCAGAAGTTCAGGTGGTAAAAGTGATATTTTTTCTTACCCAGTTCAGTTTTCTTATCTTCTGTCTTGCTGGCATCTCTTTCTTCTTCTTCTTCTTTGCTGTTGTTGTTGACTTCTTCACTGTCTTTGTTTGTGTTTTGGGTATCCAGCTGTTTCCCTCTGCCAGCGGTGGTGGATAACTTTGTCTCTGCTGTAGTTGGAGTGGCTCGGTCTCCGCTCTGATCCTCCACAGCGACAGATTTGTTCACAGTCCCGGTTGTAGCTGTGTTGTTGAATAATGAATACCTCTGGGTTGTTGCATCGTCTATCAGCGCTCCGGCTGCACCTAAAAAAACTCCCAGAAAAATCAGTGCAGCCAACATGCACAATGACTTTTCCATGTTGCTCTTTGTTTGCTGCTGCAGGAGTGGTGGGGAGAAAAAAAAAATTCCCCCGGCCGGTTTATGTGGAGATGACAGAGCCAGACCTCCATCCACATCCCTCCTCCTCCTCCTCCTCCTCAAGCCCACCTCCCTTCCCTCACCCTCCCTCCCACAATTCCAGCTGAAGTCCCGCGAAAATCTGTGATTCAAAAATAAAAAAGAATACAAAGACTTGTGCATGATTCCAGTTTACATAACGTGGGTCATGTGTGCAGCAGTGACCCATATATTTTTACCAGCCAGGGTAAAATGTGAAAATGTATGTGATCACTCTTTACTTTGAAAATAAAACTGTACACAAACTTTACATTACTGCACAATTAAAAAGCAACATTTGCACAAATGGATCAAAACCTCCCTGCCAAGTGTTACCCTGTGGTACAGGGAGATTTTTAACACCTTCCCCCATGAAAGGTTACAGGCTGTTTTAAGGGGAAAAGATGAGCTGTTTACGGATGTACAGTCACCCTTCCTTGATTTACAGCAGACTTAAAAAACGTACTTTTGAGGGTTTAAATTCTCATGCATGGAGCAGACTGGAGACAATGTTTTGTTTTACCTCATTTGATGTAAATTTTCATGTAATTATTTTTTTAAATTGCTTTTTTTTCAATCTCAAGTATTATTTTATGTATTTATATATCTTTTTAATTAATTTTTCTTGTTTTATTTTATTCTGTCATTTATTTTATTTTATTTTATTTTATTTATTTATTTATTTCTCTCTTTTGTTGTGTGTGTGCTATAGGGCTGTCTGGGGTGGGGGTATTGTATGTTGTTTTGTTTGTTTAAACTCAATAAAAAGTATCTTTCAGCAAATATGTTTCAGAAGAACATCTGCTTGCCTTTGCATTATTAATAAGTTTGTATTTGGACATATTGTTTTACTTTTCCTCCACCCCCCTCTGCTGCTCTGACCCTCTGAGAAACTTTCTTTGTCTCTTCTGTAATTCTGCCAACATCGTCTCCAGCTCCTGCTGGTAGCTCTGAGATTTCTTCAAAAGAACCCTTGTGTTGTTTCCTGAAAAACATCAAATGCAAAACAGCTGAGACAATGTTAACTCTCTTAAATAATAATATTTAAAAAAAAATTTGATGATGTGCCAGTATCATGTTTGTGCTGTCCTCGATCTTGTCTTATTTATTGCAGCAGCAGAACTGCGGCGCTCAAACAGATGATATTCATGTAAAGACAGAGATTATAGCAAATGGGACAAACACACTTAACAGGACACATCATCCTTTGTCTTGTTGACTTGGATCCAAACTGGAAGCCATCACATCTGTGTTTTATTTAGGTTTTACTGGCAGGAAACAAACTCAGTTTTTACTCACTTGGCTGTCACCATCTGGTAAATTTGATGATGTTGCAATGCAAGACGACGTTACGAAAAACAAGGAGTCACAGTGTAAGCTGTATATGACTTGTTCCCCGCTGGCCTGTAAATACACTATGTACATGTATACGTCTGTGATGTGAGGCTTCATTTGTTTGTGTTCTGAGCTGGGGCTCTCAGTCTCTCTGAGAGCATTTTAATGAACCTCTCTTCAGCACAGAGTCACTTGTGCAACTCAATTCATCCACTGCCATATAGTTTAGTGGAAATGCTCCAAGTGCAGCTCCCAACTGGTTTAACGTCAGTTATTTTGTCCAAGAAATAACAGAGAGAAAGGGAGGGATTGCAATTCTAATTCATTTTAGATATAATATGACAGGTTGAGGCAATGACATGTCAGCAAGATGTAAACACAGTACAGACCCTGCACATCTGCATGTATTACATATCCATAACACATGAGCACATTAAGTAAACACATCAACAGGCTTATTTAGTTTGTTAGTGTCACAGGTTTTAGCTCTTCTACAAATGTTACGCAAATAAATGAGGAGGAGTTGTAGCCATCGTCTGCTAAGGCCAATATCGAAACCATCTTGATCCACTATGAGAAAGTAAATCAACAATTTCTGTTTGAAAAGTTTAACATATAAACTTTTGGTGATGATCTCCTAATGGCATCAAATATAAACTATACATGAGAAGCAGCTTCCTTCCTATATGCAGATGAAAAGCAGAGGGCCAGTCAACTGTGCTCACCCACACAATCAGGAAATGTGCTTTTCCGTTTGGTGCTAGTCATCTCTGTCTTTGAAAAAAATTGCAACGATAGCAGTGTACGTTGAAGACAAACAACATTACCCTGAGACATAATTCTATCATGAGAGAGAGACTATGATTTATTTGTTTGGATAGACAGGAAGATACTCTGTTTGTGTCAGACTGAAAGCGAGTGAAAGCAGTGAAACGCTGACCACAGATGGGTGATAACATGACACTTTAATGCACATGCAGGTATGACAAATATCCAGATATGTCAAAGGCCTTCTGAAACCTTTTTCTGTTAAACGTTTTTTTTTTTCCTTTTGACTACCACCCGCGCACTTCTGGGCGTCATCAAATACAGTGCGTCTGCTTTCTCTGATGTGACATTTAAGGATGCAGCATTTTAATTGTGCTTTATTATTCCATCACCCTCAGCCATTCCATATCAAATCACAAGAAATACAAGAAAATTAATTGTTTATAGAAACATGTTTGCGCAATTTGAGACCTCCAAAAGACCTGAAGAGACCTGAAATATAAATTTCTAACATAGAAAGTACAACTAGAGAAAATGATAATGAACATAATCCTGTGTAACAGAAACCTATTTTCTTTCTTTTTTATACATTTAGTCATCTTGTGACCCCAGAATTATTAATATTATTACCATTATTATTATTATTATTTATTTATTTTTTAATTTACTTTTCATATTATTATAACGCGTACTTTTATTTTGAAATCGAGAATACCTGAACCCGATTGGCTCATTTCGATATGACGTGTATACGGGAAATGGCCACGCAACCGAGCGGAATCACAACATTGCGTTTAAAGTGTCTTTACTCATCCTCCTTTCGTTTAATTTTAGTTGTTTGATTTCTTTTTTTTTCCCCATGGCGGCCAATTCAGACTGTCTTTGACGAGCGGAAGTTCGAGAAGAACTTAAATATTTAGCGAGCCGTGCCGTGCTATGAAAACATGCTGCCGCTCGCTGTAGAAGCTAACCACCAGCAGCAGCAGCAGCTAGCTAGCAAATGGTTTTTCGGCTGTGATGTCTGTCACCGTGCGAAGTAAGTGAAACTATGTCACTTTATACACAATGTATAATTAAAAAGCTTTGTCATTGTGATACGTTATTACAGAATCTACCTCATGTGCTTCTCCAGCTGTAATTAGTGGCTGAAATGTGACTCTAAAGCGGGAATTCACAGCTAAATAACGGCCTGGTTGCTCATTCAGGAGTGCTGTGGTGCAATTTGAGAAGCCTAAATTGTGTGTGGATGTGTGTGTTTCAGATGACAAGAAGACGAGCTAGAATAGTAGTGAAACTGCTGGAAACCTGTGTCCCGTACGTGTAGCCAACAGCATGTGACACAGGAGCTCTCTGCTCGCCAAAAAAAAGTTGGTTTTAATCAAGATGCCTCGCCTGGAAGAGGTGGCCAACGTTGCCCTCAGGGTGCCAAGCATACTGGTGCTGGACCTGCTCTATAAATGTGACATTGAAGGTTTAACAGAGCATCTCAAGGCCAAAAATGAAGACATGCTCTTCAAATACAAATATGTCATCTGGAACATGTACTACCTTGGTAAGTGATCTAATAAGATAAGACTTTCAGCAGCTGTAGGTAAAAAAAGAAGAGATTAAAAAATGAGGTGAACTACGCTTAAATTAAAATTGAATTAAGTCTCTATTACAAAGTGGGCAGTAAGAAGAGAAGAAATCATAGTAAAAGCCTTACAGTGTTATACACATCTGCTAAATGTGCAATAATGTGCTTCGGCGCATTCACTTTGAAATAAGATACTGGGCACTACATTCAAGTCTGAGTAGGTTTACATCAATAGTGAGAGAGCTGTGTGGGAGATAAAGCCATTTTCAGACACACTTTATAGCCCCAAGTTGAGGGGTTCAGAAGTAACTGGACAGATAGACATGAAGTCAAAATCCATTGTCCTTTACCCCTGGACATCTGTCACCTTCAGCTCTTGCTTGTTGTGGTACCATTAGTCTTGATCCTCAGCTTAAAAAGTTGAATACTGACTCTAAAATGTCAGCTGTCTGCAGAGATTTCTTACGCAACTTCACCTTCTTCCAGGCTGCATGAAAGAAGGGTCAACACTCCAGTAACAGTTGAACTATAAAAGAGAAACTTTATTGTGAGACGCTCTTGCAAAGCGCTCAAGTTTTTTTTGCAGCTTAGTCTGCCTGATAAAAAAAGCCAGCATTGCCATAATTATATATTATAATTTATTATAGCTGTTTCAAAACTGCTAAATACAGCAGATCGTATGGTGACAAGGGATGGATGTGAATCTACCTTGTGTGCATCTTTTTATTCTTGGCTTCAGGAAACACAGAAACCATAACACGAGTGTTCTCCTTTACCTCCAGGTCATCTGATAAACGTGGTGGTGTTGGTTTTGCCATTGAGACACATTGTGACGCTCTACCTCCATATCCTCGCTGCCCTTCTCCTCTACATGGGGCATCAGATTTCGAAGTGAGATATCATCCTATTCTACTACTACTATACTTTCTGCTCTTATTGCACCAGGATCATTATTCTTTCCTGACAAAGCCTGATTGTAATCACAGTGCTTCTCTCTCTGTTTACCTAGAAGTCTTCAGCCTGAGGATTTATTTTAAGAGGCGCTGTTCCTCTTGTTGAGGACACTGTTGTTTCCAGCTCACCATCTTGTAAATTTGTCTTGTAACCTGAGAACAATGTGAGAGAACGCTTAAGGCTTAATACCATAAAGAAGACCAAACCTGATCTAAATTAATAAATAAACTCTTCGAAACGTGAAATAAACAAATTTTCTTAGTTAATAATGCAAAAGAAGAAGAGATATTCCCATTATTTGTCACCTCAGGATTATATTTTTCTCTCAAATGATTGTGTATCAACTCTTTTATTACACAATCCACTAATTTATGCGTTTTCTCAAATTAGCTCAGCATATAATCTATTTAATTATTCATTTCATTAAATATATTTCATGTTGGTTCCTGCATTTGCCCTCCTATCAAATATACGGTCTGAATAACAGCTGCGTAGTAACTCTCAAAAACAAACAAACATTAGCAAAACNGTGTTCTCCTTTACCTCCAGGTCATCTGATAAACGTGGTGGTGTTGGTTTTGCCATTGAGACACATTGTGACGCTCTACCTCCATATCCTCGCTGCCCTTCTCCTCTACATGGGGCATCAGATTTCGAAGTGAGATATCATCCTATTCTACTACTACTATACTTTCTGCTCTTATTGCACCAGGATCATTATTCTTTCCTGACAAAGCCTGATTGTAATCACAGTGCTTCTCTCTCTGTTTACCTAGAAGTCTTCAGCCTGAGGATTTATTTTAAGAGGCGCTGTTCCTCTTGTTGAGGACACTGTTGTTTCCAGCTCACCATCTTGTAAATTTGTCTTGTAACCTGAGAACAATGTGAGAGAACGCTTAAGGCCTAATACCATAAAGAAGACCAAACCTGATCTAAATTAATAAATAAACTCTTCGAAACAAGAAATAAATAAATTTTCTTAGTTAATAATGCAAAAAAAGAAGAGATATTCCCATTATAGATATTCAGGATTATATTTTTCTCTCAAATGATTGTGTATCAACTCTTTTATTACACAATCCACTAATTTATGAGTTTTCTCAAATTAGCTCAGCATATAATCTATTTAATTATTCATTTCATTAAATATATTTCATCTTGGTTCCTGCATTTGCCCTCCTATCAAATATACAGTCTGAATAACAGCTGTGTAGTAACTCTCAAAAACAAACAAACATTAGCAAAATGCAGCACAAGATCCCACCTCAGGCAGCTCTGCATTGCTGTTTGTTATTAGGATGACGTGTTTCCTAAAATAAACAATATACAGTGAACATTTATTCTTAAAAAACATTTTTTTCTGTTTGTTTTACAGGGATTATGTTCGTGAAGAGCTGCATTATGGTTATGAAGGAGCAGTGTACCTTGACTCTCTGTCCTTCAACAGATTTGTGTCTGCAATGACTAGTGAGTCCCAATATTTACTTGTATGTATTTTGGCTCATTTAGGTTTATATTCATAGATTGTTTTTGTTTTCCAATTTTTATAAGATTGTCCCATGAAGTTTGCATTTCATAGAGTGTAACAATAAATAAGATAATCTAGTTCCTTAGCACAAAGATCTCCCCCTGTCTAAGCTTTAGGGATAGAAAAATGATCCACACTGTGTGACAGTAATAGATATTCTGTTTTAGCTTGTTCAAGTCTTATAACTATATCATGTTTTTGAGAGAAATATTCAAACACAAAACTCTCTGCGTCATTTTATACCCATTACCCCAATTTCAGTTTGTACTCACTTCCCTACTTCTGAGGTTAGTGAGGGTGAAGACGTTAAAGGACCGAGGTGGCGACGTTCTATATTTTTCTTATTGTCAGTGAATTCCAAAGAACAAAACAACATAAAATAAAACATGTGTTGTGTCTGTGAATCCAGGACGTGATACATTTATTGTTGTTTCATTCATTGGATTTATTGACAGAAATAAAAATATAGGAAATCGCCTTTAAAAATCCAGATAATGGCTATATTTGACAAAAAAATACAGAAATAGAGCCACGTGTGTGATGCTGAAATATATAATTTCACATAAATGTAGTCAAAAACTGTCACCTAATATATATGATAGCTGATATCATGTTAATACAATCTGTGGCTGGGATCACAACATCTGGCTCGGGTGTTTAAGGTAGGGTGGTAAACATGCTAAGCTTTACAGCTGTGGTCATTTTATTTCCTGCTCAGGTCAGATTATTCTCAGCACGCTGTGTGCCTTCCTGATGAAGACCAGAAAGGTGTGGTTGTTCTCCGCTCACATGCTCCCCCTGCTGGCCAGACTCTGCGCTGCTCCTCACGCCACGCTGCTAACCGTCAACACTTTCTCCATGGGACTGACCGGGTCGGGGATCGCCATGTTCCTCCTCTCAAATCTGTTTGTGCCATATCGTCTCGCAAGGGCTGCCTATTCCGAGCTGCTTCAGGTGGAGGTACTCTTATTCTGAAATCCTTATGTTCACAGTGCAGTCTGTTTTGTCTGAAGAGGTTGTAAATGATTTAAAGCTTAAGCTTTTATGCAAGCTGTAAAACTGCCTGAAAGTTATGAAGATATTTTGACTGTTGTGTAGCATTAATTATGATTGTTCATTTGTTTTCTTCTTCATTTTATTTGACCTTTTTACTTATTTAGAAATATTCCCTCTCCTCTTACAACACTTGTGGAAGTATCTGCAGGTTTATTCAGTGATAAAATGAGTTTAAGTGAAGGTATGATCAATAAACCAAAGTTAGATTTCATGCAGGTTTGTTTTCTGTAGTTTTATGTTTATTATATCAATTGAAAATGTTTGTTTTTTGACTCCTGAGTCACCGGATTTTCACATGTATCCTCACATGTCTCTGTCATTAAAGGTTGTGTGCACTGTGTGTCCTGTTTTCACACTCTCCTGTTCTCTCAGGTGATCGAACTGTACAGACTTCTGGCTGTGGGAATCTCTCTGTGGAACCAGTTTGCCGTCCCACTGCTCTTCAGCGTCTTCTGGTTTGTTCTGTTCGTTGTCCAGCTCTGCTCAGACGCCATGTCTGGCACCTCGGCGGCCCATCAGGGAATCATGTTGTTCCTGCTCACAAGGTGTGATGCGATGATGTGGATTTTACAGTTATTCCTTCGTGTGTGTTTGTACCATAAATTACACATGTTGGAGATATTTTTTTTTTAATAAGCTGATGTATTTGCAGTGTTTCTGAATGTTGTGCCACACCGTACTCTCTTCTGGGTCTGACCTTCGTGGTGTCCTATCTGGCTCTCGGGCTGCTCAACCTATGCAAGTTCTACCTGGGAGGTTACGCAGCTGTTCAGAATGAGAATGTCATGCACAGGTGAGATGTTCTCACTTTTATACTGTCATCATTTCACTCCTTTTGATCCACTTTTTGGCCACGTGTGTTTATATATGTATGTTTATATTGGAGACAGATGTTACATAAATATATATCCATCCCAAAGTCTGTCAATATATGTTGATATTATAAACAGTAGAGACCAAAGTAGAGTCCGAGACCACTTTCCCAGAATGGGAAAACAGACACGTTTAAAATGAGTGAGAAACTAACAGGAAAAACATATTTATTAGCGTATAGAATTTTTATATGTATGTTGTTTTAATTAACTTTATTTTTTTATAGATGCAACATCTTACATCATACACATTCATCATATAGATATTTTTTAATATATGTACATAAACACATTTTACTATGAGTATTTTGTCTGTTATAAACTTATATATAAACTTATATCTTCATATCCAGAGGATGTATATCACTCATGGAAATCTCCCAAAAATGTTGGTCCATAATATTCAACATCATAACAGTACAGAGGCCAAATAATACGCAGCACTTTTTATTTGACTGAAAACGATCAAACATTCACGACTGAACTGAAAGCTCAACTTTTCTTTTTTTGTTTGATCACTTGTCGATTCACCATCTATTTCCTTTTAATCCTTCCTGTTGCTGACCAGCTATCCATTCTGATGCGATGATCAATAAAGTATTATCAATGTTTTTAAAAATCATTCCATTTAAAACATTTAATTTAACATTATTTATATGAACTTTTTTTTTTTATTTTTTTATTTTACATCTTTTCACCAAAATTGTGCTGTTCTGCAAATGATCTGTCGGCCCACCTGCAATACCTCCGCTGCCCACCAGTGGGCCCCGGCCCAGAGGTTGGAAACCTCTAGGTGATTTCCAAAGAGAAGTTACTCATAACTGTGGTGTTGGGCAGGTTACTGTGTGTGTGCGCGTGCGTGCGTGCGTGTGGCAGGAACTACAACAGAGGTGGGTTTGAGTACTTTGGCAGTTATTTTAAGTATTTTGGCAAGTGTTTATACGTCTGTGAACAGATTTTGTGACCACGATAGTGACGTGCAAGATACGGCCTTGAAACTTCACAGGTGTGTAATTGAGATCAAAATAAAGGCTGGGTGTGGTCCGACCCATTAGTACTGAGTAGTCATCTAACCACTGAGTCTCATGGGTCAGATCGTCAACATGTTGTCGGGTGTTGTGGCTGGTGAGATCCCAAGATGGTCTCTAGTTTTCATTACTGCTGATTATTTTAATGATTAATCAATTAATTGTTTGGTTTTAAAAAATATCATTAAATTGTTAAAAAAAAAAATTGCACAAGAGTTTGTTTTCTCTAAATTCAAAAGAAAACCAAAACTCAACAATATTCAGTTTCATATCACATTAGACAAAGGAAAGCAGTAAATGTAGTAGAAGTGATTGTTATTTTAATTTTGTCCAGATAAACATTTTGATTATAAGAGATCTGGAAAGAGAAACATTATTTGTAAGAGATAAACCTACTAAAGTCATTCAGTTACAAAAAGAGAAATATGCAGACATATAAACATAGAAGGAAAAAAAAGTAATAACAAGAAAATAAAAAAATAGATAAAATAATGGAAAGTTTTCATTGACTCGGATGTAGAGAGTTTTGTTTGTAGTGATGTGTTATTTATATAAGATGACCATCTGTGCCGTTCCAGTCTGAAGTGAAGGTGCTGCTCTGTTAAGACTCAACCTCAGTTCTTTATCTTCTTCCTCAGGGGCGTGACTGAGGGCGTCACTCTGCTCCTGCTCGCCCTCCAGACGGGTCTGTTAGATATGCAGGCACTGCAGCGCACCTTCCTCCTCAGCATCATCCTCTTCATCGTGGTCACTTCAACGCTGCAGTCAATGATCGAAATCACAGATCCAATCATTCTAGCTTTGGGTGCATCCCGCAACAGGTAACGACAACAAGAGGGAGTTTTATTTTATTTTATTTTGGTGGAAGTAAAACGCATCGAGTTCCCTCCGCTCACTTCTGTTTCCTCTGTACGTTTAGGAGTCTGTGGAAACACTTCCGTGGCCTCAGCATGTGTCTGCTTCTGCTGGTTTTCCCAGTGTTCATGGCTTACAAAATCTCCCAGTTCTTCCACATGGACTTCTGGCTCCTTATACTGGTGTCCAGTTGCATGCTGACTTCCCTTCAGGTAGGAGGAGTCACTTTGTGCGTCTGTCATGTGAAATGTGGAAGAAAGGAAGCTGGATTACTCTTTGAAAGACGTTTTTAAAGATTTAAAATCTGAAAAATTAAGTGACTGACTAAATAAATATGGAATTAAATTAAAACATGGTTAAAATAAAATAACTGAGTTACAAGAAACTGAAATTTATTTACATGCTTTATATTTTAAATCATTGACATTTTCTATTTTGACATCAATTTGAACATTTGACAGATTAATTGATTCGTTGATGAACAGAAAATGAATCAGAAATGACTTTGATGATTGAATAATCAGAGCTACTCTGTGTAGAATTGAAGTATTCCTGACTTTAGTTGCCCCCCAGTGGTCATATTAATAAATGACACTGAAACAGATGCAGTGCACCTCACATAGTCTGCACCAGTTTACACCAATACTGTCTAATTTTTCTACACACAAAAATCTGTGACATACTTTTCTTGGGGTCCAACATTACAATATTAGTTACAACATTAACGTCCAACAATATAATTACACCTAAACCATACATATACAAAATAAGAACAATTTAAATTGACACTTAAAACAAAAGAACAACTCATCAAAACTTTCTTATTGGGGGAAAAAAAATGGCTTGTTTATTTTCAGGCCAGTCTTAACACAATATTTTCAAGTACAAACAATTGGGACGTAAGTAATAAAGATGTTTATCTGATAGTAAATAAATATATGGAGGGAAGACCTTGAAACGAATATAAGACTGGAGGACTGACGGAGGTGAAGGGGGCATTGTTTCATTGTGTGCAGCAGTGCAGGAAGATGAAACTCTTTTGGGAGGAGGAAAGAGACACAGAGAAGAGCATTTAAAAAGGCGTTCCAGTGGATCCTGGGTTTTTGTTCTCACAACATCATAACCTTATTAAAAGAGAACAAAGAATAATAACTCTTTGTGTTCTACAAGCCAAAAGATTCATTCCAGTGTTTTGGACAAAGACCAACTGACCATGTACCAAACAATGGGCCAAGCAGATGCTATTAACTTCCAGAGGGGAAACAGGATGTCTGAAAAGGTTTAAGGCCTTTGTGTGAGTGTATGGATTTGATAGACGATGAAGAGGAATGAGCGTCGGTGTATGTCACTATTTATGTGCAGTTTGATGAAATATTATTTCCTGATCACGTTCACAGTTACGCACATTCATACCTGGGAGCTGCCTCTCTAAAATATAAGGCTCCCACTTAAACCAATTAAAATATGTTGTATCAGGATTTATTGAGGGTTAGGGTCAGAAAATGTTTCCTGAGTTAGCGTGTGTGCTTTGATTAACAGAGCATCAGCAGTTTTTTTTGTATTTCTATGCACAAGGCAAAAAGTTAATAAGAATATTGGTTAAAAATGAAGTTGTTTGTCATATTTTCCAGGTTACAGGCACTATGCTGATCTACTCCCTCTTCATGGTGGAGCTGTTTCGCAGCGACCCGATTGAGAGCCTGGATGAAGTGATCTACTGGGTGAACGCCGTCAGCAGGGTGCTGGAGTTCGTGGTGGCGCTCTGCGTGGTGGCTTACGGCACCTGGGAGTCGCTGTTTGGGGAGTGGAGCTGGATGGGCGCCTCCGTCATTATCATCCACTCTTACTTCAACGTTTGGCTCAGAGGTCAGTCCGGCTGGAGGAGCTTCCTGCTCAGACAGGAAGCAGCTAAGAAGATCAACTCCCTCCCCAAAGCCACGGCTCAGCAGCTGCAGCAGCACAACGACGTCTGCTCCATCTGCTTCCAGGTCAGTCTCTCTCTATAATTACACAATTAATGAAAAACTGCTTTGTTAAAATAATTATTTTAATCATATAGAACTTTTCAAAAACAAAGAACAGTTTTAACAGTATCACAGAGAATAAAAAGCAAAGTAAATCCTGAAAGCAAACAAATAACATTGATGATGATGATGATGATGATGATTATTATTATTATATAATGATTATTAAACAAAAAATTCCAATAATCACACATACAATATCAGCAGCCAGGTATATAATTAAAAATATAGTGATACATGGTATTACCCAGCTCTGCGTGCACGTGGCAGACACATGACATACAAACTGCATATATGTAATACTTAACATGCACCTTTTTAAAACATGTTGTTCCTGCTTTTCCAGTTTAGCCACACCTCTCCTTTTACTGGTCAGGTATGACTCTTTGGCCCTCAGCCATAGTTTCTGTTGAAGCCTGCTAAAATTGTCTCTTCCTTTTCCTTAACAACGATGATTAGTTTGTTGTCAAGGAAGCAGCTACAGAAAATTTGGATAATATAACAAACTGGTTTAAGAGCTTTAGAATAAGAGTTCAGTGATCTCTGAGGGGAAAATCCCATTACAGCAGCACAGAGACAAGATGAGAGGTAAGAAAACAGATAAAAAAAACTCATTGACTGACATGGATTAAAAAAAAAAGGAGAAAGATTAATTCATAATACATACATTATAATACCTTATGTGTACACATGTGATTTGTGTAAATATTTGTAAAGTAAGATAGTGAACGTATGACAGCCATGATGTTTGAACTATATGTATGAATGAAAAGTACAATCATGATATATGTAGTAATATAATAAAGGTTAATAATGACGGGTATAATGCAGTACATATAATATAAACACACAATACAGTAATAATATTATTATAATGTAATGTGTGTTATATAATGCAATGCTAAATAAAATAATAATATACAGGCTATCTGCTGGACAGAGAAGGTATTTAACAGCCTTAAAGAGCCTTCATTAACTACATACTTAATCATCATTATAGATTTTTATTTATTTATTTTTTGCTTGGCATAAGGAGCAGCTGTTCTTCTAAAATATTTCTGGATGTGATTCTGGGCTAAATAAATAATTCTGGGCCCTGAATACAGATATATTCTTACTTCTTGTACTACTGCTTCCACAGCATTAATGTTTCTGGTAATATATAATGACGACAAGGTGCAGGTGCTTGTTACAGTGTTCAACATGAAACCAAATACTGATCAAGTCAAATAATGTCTCTTTCCACAGGAAATGAGCTCTGCTGTGATCACATACTGTAGACATTTCTTCCATGGCAACTGCCTCCGCAAGTGGCTGTATGTGCAGGACACCTGCCCCATGTGCCACCAAACAGTCAGACCCGCCCCACAAGGTCACAGCGAGGCTTCGGGTGACGCCCCAGCAGAGAGATACGCAGGACCAGATCTGGCCGCACGGGAGGGGAATCAAATCCAGGACAATGGTGCATACCAAGAGGCGCAGAGCGACGATGTGACTCCTGATCCCACCGAGCAGGAGAAGGAGCGGGAAAGCTCTGAGGATGGAGCTTGTGGGACAGAAGATGGAGACCAGCCAGATGAACTTCACACGAAGGCCGCTCAGGGTCTTCGTTTCAGCTCCAGTGGAGACTTTGTTGGATTTGTCCACCCAGCGTCAAGCTGCTCTTCAGGGGGCATTTCTAGCTCCCATGTGCTGCTGGGTAAAACTTCTCCTAATATGCACAACCCAGGTGAGGAAAGTGGTAACGACTCATTGCTGCCATCGACGCCTAATGATGTGAATACAATGAAGGACCAATCTGACTCTAAAAGAGCGGGACTTGAAGACGGTGCTACTTTCTGTCTTAGATTGCCACAAAACAACAACGGCGAACATGACAGCTGTGATGGGACACATAAATCATGGAACAGCTTTGATTCGCTAGAATCAAACAATGCTGATCAAACTCCTGAGGCTGTCTCACGTGGTACAGGCCGTGTTGATAGCCAAACATTTGTCGAATCGTGTAATGAAAACTCAGAAGTATTAGACTGCATTGACGATCCTCAAAGTCATAAACTTAATAATACATATTCAGACTTGGACCTGGAACCTGTCCCACAGTCCTCCCGGCTGTCCTCCTCTGTGGACGCCCCCTTCTCTTGCATAAGCACAGACAACAGTGACTGACTGCCCTGCATCAGTGCCTTGAAGGATGAAAAAAGGGTGACCCCTCCATAATGGAGAATTTAACACATTTGCCTTCTCTCTGTGAACCAATAGAAAAAAAAATTGTATCTTTTACCAGACAGTGTATTGAATGTGATTCAGTTTAGCAACTGGATTGATTATGGAGAGTAAATTGTCTTGGGTTAAAGTGACACCCTTATTGTACAACTGTAAAAAAAAAAAAAAAAAAAAATTGTAAAAAAGATTATACTTCATAGAAATCACGTGTAACTACAAGGCAATTACCTTGCGTCAATATTTACCAAATTCTTGCAGGTTACAAGTACAAATGTTTACTTAGAGAAATCGAACGGCGTTTGATTTACTTTCATTTCATTACCTTTCCTGTACCCTTCTAGTTTTTATGTTCAGCATTTATGTGTGGTTCAGCAGCAGAATCAAACTTTTGTACTGCAAAGCCTCTCTGTCTCAGAGTATTAAGTTACTTTCTTTCTTTCTTTCTTTTTTTTACTGTAGACTCTATGTTAATAAAATTATGACTGGTGCGCAGTGAGGCTGACATTGTGTGTCAGATTTGTGAAGTCTAAACAGAACAGTACTATTGTAGTGTTCAGCTATGACAATCCAGAAAAAATTGTTGGCTGATATGTTGATTTGTAGATAATAGTATAAATAAAATAAATAAAAGAATTCTTACAACACTGTATAATTTCATAATCATTTACAGTAAAATATCATAATCATCATAAATGCTCTAAATAGTATTTCTCTTGTATGTGTTAAAGTTTCTCAAAAGAACTCTTCAAATCATCTTTTTAAAAATTTGTCTTGTTGATTAATCAGAGGATTTTCTTTTTTATGTTATTATTTCTCTGCTGGGATGTTACATGACTCAAGGTTTTCTGTGTAGTTATTTAATTAAAACTAAAGGAGTCAGTTAAAGTTTATATGTATAAGGACAGGTGCGGTATATACCATGAACCAGTGCCACATACATGAATAACCTAAGCTAATGGGCTGTCCTTATAGGTTGGCCAAAAACTCGCATACATACCTTACATACAAAACAGCACAAAAATAATAATAGAGCTGCAAGAATTAATCAATTAATTGTGGCCAGTGATCTTATGTCACACAAAATAAACTGAATATCTTTTGGTTTTTAACTGTTATTCAAAACAAAAGATAAAACAAAACACTTTAAAAAGTGACTTTGGCATGTGGGGAATCCTGGTGAAAGTTTTTAGACAAAACAATCAATTTAAGAGAATAATTGTGGCATTAATAGATTATGAAATTCTTAGTTTGCTGTCTCTCTATCCTGATGTCATCTGTTATTGTATCTAACTTAAATATACTAGAAACTAAGTTAAAAATAATTAAAAAAAAAACATAATTAAAACGACTAATATTTAAAATATATATATTTTTAAAAAAAGTAAGGAAATATATACAAAACATTCATATCCACACAGACATACATTTGTACTTCTACTCGCGTACATGCTGACGTAAACAACTTGATAATTTTAATATGAATAATTTATGTAAAAAATCCAGGGCGTTAACAATTAAATGCTGACATGTCCTGGCTGGTCTGTCAAGCATGTTGTGTTTTTTTTTCTGCAGGCTTGTAACCAATCTGCCATCACATCCGCCCCGTCACTCCGCAGCCGCTGCGCCGCCTCCACCATAAAGCCTCACATACATGTAGACAGCCGCTAGTTGGCTAACGGCATCGACGGGAGACATACGGAACAGGAGCTTTGTTGCCCGGGTTACTTCACCTGGCAAACGCACTTATTCAGCCTCAAGCTGGGGATACTTTAGTCCAGAAAAATAAGACGTTCAAACTACGGAGAAAGCGAGGTTTATCGAAGGACGGTGTAACATCTGTCGCTCGGTGGATCAGACCGCCCGCTAGCTTTGTTACAACTCCGCGCATACGTAGTTTTAGCTCGCCAGTCGGCTAACTACGCTAACTCGAGAAGAAAGGCCGTCGAGTTGACCTAGCGTCGGTTATTTAACAGGTAGCGAATCATCCTGGCATATCAAGGTTGCCTCTCACCGCTTGGATCGGAAAACCGTCAAATTGAAGAGCAGAACACTGAGAGAGGATGGCTCTGAAAAGGATCCACAAGGTAAGATAACGTCAAATGTTAGCTCGCCGTGCTAGCCTCCCACAATGTAGCTAGCGCTGCTCTTGATACTGTATCCTGTGAAACATGGCGGTGAAACCTGTTCGGGGAAGTGTTTAAGTTTGTGGCTCTTGGGCTGTTTAATCATTTTTGTGTGATTACGGGTTAGGTGAATTGTGTTTTCTTCTTTTTTTCTTTTTTTTACTGTTGGCACCGGCTCCGGCACCTTTCAGCTAGCTTAGCTAACGTTAGCAGTTTCGTTTACAGGTTCAGTGTGTGTGTGTCGAGGTGGATTGACGACAGAAAGAGGCCGCACGAATTGCCCAACACTGTACCGTTTACATAAACACGCGTATATTTGAATGCGGTGTGGTTACGACACTGAGCCCTTTACTGGAGCTTCACATCTGTGTCGTGTGTCTTCGCCAACCGGTCAAACATTTTATAAAAGCGTCGATGCTCGGCGTTACCAGAACCCATGACTCATATCACTCACTGAATCCGTGTTAGCAGTCAAGAGCTGTGTTCATGATACATTTCCTTGGTATTTGGTCGTATTTGTTCTGAGTCCGTGCACATCACAGGGTGTGTGTTCTGATAGTTTAAATGGAGGAAACGGGCAACAGTAGGACATAGTAGAGCAACACTTCCGAAGTGTTCACACCGTGACTTTATTTCCTCACTCTGCTGTTGACTAGAATCTTCTTCCAGGGAAATCCATAAACTTACTTATGAAACGGTGTATGTCAGAAGGCCAGGGTGGGGCAATGGCCTCCACTCTCTAAAATAGCTGTAGACCTAAAAATAACAGAGGGTGTGTGTTTGTGTGTGTATATATGCTTAGGTCTCATCTTGCTGTTAACTGTAGAGACGATAACAAGGCGGCCCCCACCTGCCCCTGAGCTGGTGCAGAGTTGAACATGAAGGAGATAAAACCTTGAGGAGGGGAGGCTGTTGTGAAATAAATGAAGCACACTACCGTCATGTAGCATCTCCCTTCTCTGGTCTACCCTATGTTATGTACAAGTGCGACTCATTCTTGTACATTGATTTCAGATCTTGTCTCCTCCATTATTGTCTCTCTTAAGATTACTGTGATCTAATTGGTTATTGTTCTAAACCTCTTTTCATTACAGGAGCTTAACGATCTGGCTCGTGACCCTCCAGCACAGTGCTCAGCCGGCCCAGTGGGTGATGACAGTAAGTGTCCCAAGGCTGGTCAAAAGTTTAGGGCTGCATCAGTTAATCTGCTGACTTATTTTTTTTAATCGTTCTGTCTTTGAAGTGCAAGGAATGGTGAAAAGTTGCCTGTTACCAATGTCCTTCATCAAAGATATTAGTTAACTATCATTCGTGGCAAAAAAAAGATAAAATCTTCACACTTGAGAAACTAGATCACAGCAAATGTTTGGAGTTGTGCTTGAAAAATGACAAAATGATCAGTAGTTCATCAAAAAAGTTGTGGATTAAGTTTGTGATTAATGGACACAATATGGAAGCTCTAAAAGTTTTGCAGTGTCAGCATTATAGTTTGGCAGGTCTGTCTTCTAAAATATGATTCATCATGTGGAGGTGGAGTAAACGGCTAAACGTTTCAGTTCAAAATAAAGACTGAACAACCTACATTTACACAAGGATAGACTGATTGACAGACTCAGAAAATTTGAATCTAAGAGAAATTACATTCGTTCTTTATATGAACTCTAAACGCACAGGTGGATGTAGCTCACGTGCTGAGAATTGGTGATCATATTCTTGAATACCTCCACCCTACTGATAAACACTATAGTAAAACCTATTCAAAGGTGATATGGCCATAAAAAGGTATTGATAAAGATATACAAAGGGAAATGGTGTTACTGGGAAGCTACAAAGACAATTTAGAAGCCTAGTTCCTGTCAGATCAGATACCTGTGACCTTTCTTTGTCTCCTAACATTTGCTTTCTGTTCTCCGCAGTGTTTCACTGGCAAGCCACAATCATGGGACCTGTAAGTAGATACTTTAGGACATAACTGTTTCTTTATTTATAAATAACAAGTTAAAATTTATCACTGAGGCCATGTTCCTGGCTGATTCAAATGTATTCATGAGATAAAGGTTAAAATTTGACTTGGAAGCTGTGGGCGGCATGTTTAGATCACTCTTTCTGAAATATGTAAATGTTCTTTTCCCCCATTCTTTTTTTCCTCTCCAGAGTGACAGTCCATATCAGGGAGGTGTTTTCTTCTTGACAATTCATTTTCCAACAGACTACCCCTTCAAACCACCCAAGGTAAGACTGAAACGAGGTTTACCCTTTCTCTTGTTTTGATACGTTATGGTAATTAAAGGTACACTGTCATTCATCTGTCAAGCGACCTGCAGTATCTGTCATGAAGCAGACTCAAGTCTTATTTGCAGCATTAGCATACTGGCCAGTATATACAGTGCCACGAACTGGGGTCAAACATTGTACATTCTTTAAATGCCGAGCAACTTTAATTTTGTTTTTCTGAGTGCGTCAAAGTGACAGCACATATTTCCTGTTAATGAAACCGAGTTCAGCAGTTTGGCATATTGAAAATATTTTGTCAGCTTCACAAACACCCATGAAGCAATATCTGTCATTCCAGAAGATACTAATCATGGGCATGAAACGTCACTGACTTGTGTTGAGGAATTTAAATTGCGTAACACCTGGTGACATGGGTTGACTCAGCATTATCTTACTTGTCCTCACTGCTATGTTTTTGTTTTTCTTTTCAGGTTGCATTTACAACAAGAATTTACCACCCAAATATTAACAGTAACGGCAGTATCTGTCTGGATATTCTCAGATCACAGTGGTCTCCTGCACTTACTATTTCTAAAGGTATGGATAATCATGAAAGGTCACCATGACAACAACCTTATCAATTATCAGTTGGTAGAGTGTAGGATAACCTGCCCTACTGGCTGGTAACACCAAAAGTTTCAAAATAATCTTCCATTGAAGTTTGTTTTACTGCCAAAGTTTTAAATCAACAGAACCTGATTCTATACACACAGGTATTTAAAAATGGCCAGAGCATTTAAATTTGTATTTTTCCTTTTGGCCACAAATGGTTTTTGGCAGGTGTGTAATGTTTATTTTTGACACTGCAAGTAATAGAATTTAACTTGATTAGCACACATTTTGCAAAAAGATGTCATCTGTTTTAAAATTTTGTATTGACTTTAAAAAATGGTTTAATAGTTTTTTGGGGTTTTTTTTGTCTGTATTGTTTCTTCTAGTTCTTCTCTCCATTTGCTCACTCCTATGTGACCCAAACCCTGATGACCCACTAGTGCCAGAGATCGCACGAATCTACAAAACAGATAGTCAGAAGTAAGTATATTTATATAAGTGTGTCAAACTATTCTCTAACATGTGAAATAACCAATTCTGTATCCCAAAAGGAAGAACAGCCTTCTAGTACATATTTAATGCTGCGCTGTTCACAATAAATACAACTTTAATAGGCATAGTTAATCGCCTGAGTCTAGTATTTAACCTAGTTTCACTCTGTCAGGTACAATAAACTAGCTCAGGAGTGGACAGCGAAGTATGCCATGCTTTAGGGTAAGGCCAAGAGGCCGTGCTGCATCTTGGGTAGTGCAATGGGAGTGATTGGTTGTGTTGTGATGCTCTGGTCTCACTGACATAAGCAGAGGCCTGGATCTCTGTTATGAAGTATACGACTGCAGTGTGGGATTTGACTGTGATTATACTAATCTCCAGCTGGTTGCTGTAAATAAACACGTTAACATAATATTTCTGGCAACCCACAGATAAAATGGTCTCTTGACAGCTGTGGGTTACCACTAATACAGGCCAGACAAATGAAGATCCAATAGCAGTAATCACAAGTCCTGTAGCAGAACTTATAAGACCACATCTTACATTTAACTTCAATTTTTGCTGACCATTTTCCATCACATACATAAGATTAAAAGTAAGTTTGATTGGAAAATGAACATGCAGAGACCTTAGATTTGCTTGAGATAGGTGATCATCACAGTTAATGATGGGTTGCCTTTTATTTTTCAGTTGTTATTGTTGCATGGTGAAGCAGTGTCAGCAGGGACCATTGTGAAAAATGTTCTTGCATTGGAGGACACGCCAACAGTTGGCTGCCAAAAAGAACGGCATTCATGAGCTATGATGTCTGACACTGTAGCCTAGAGACAAACAGTAAGGATAATGTGAAGCGGGTTTCTGGTATGAAAAGGTTGTTCTTTAGGGGCAGATAATGAACCATCAGGTGTCACAGTATTCTTCAACATAGCGTCTTTAAACAGTATGTGCTGGCAGCAGCATTGCCTGGCAAAGGTGTGGTTTTAAAATTTAATAATAAAAACTGGCTGCCTAGAATAAAATCCATAAACAAAAGAAAACATAGCCAGAAGGAAACAATATTGGTGTTCTTGGCATTTAAGTTTAAGAAAAGGTTGGTACATGGAAGTAGGTAGCTACATTTGTTTCAGGGTCACAGGACCAGACACTCAAATAAAACATGGAGCAGGAAATAAAAGTGAATTCATAAAAAAAGAGGGAGGAACAGGATATAAGTAGGAGACAAAGTCTATGATAAAATAATATAAAAGAAAAGTGATTGAAATCTAAACAGGTGCAGATTCTGGTTCCTTTTATCAGACCCACTAATGCAACTAATGATAATCATTCTTGACTTGTCTACAGACCTTTTTTGTGTAGCAATTTAGTCTATGAAATATCAGAAAGTAGTGAAAAATGCCCATCCTTGTTGATGTCATGTTGTATTTTGTTATATTTAACAAAATATTATTTACATTTTGTTGAGTCAACAGTCCAAAACCCCAAGGTATTTGGTTTGTAGTTACATAAAAGAGAAAACAAGCAAATACAGGGCTAAGCTGTGACCAGAGAAAATGGGGTAAACAATCAGTTATGAAACTAGTTGCTGTTTAATTTTCTGCTGATCAGTTATTCAGCGAATCTCTGCAGCTCTACCCACTATAATGACTGGAAATGTACATTGTAATATATTTTGCATTTAAAATATCTTCCCTTTTTATGAACGTAAATCAGGAGTCAAAGGAATTGCTGACCCAAACCAATATCGTATTTGCTATTAAAAGGCTAAAACAGCCAAAGCCAGTGTTGTAGTCTTTTTAATATATCAAAAATATGTTTCATATGGTGGACTGATCCAGAATCAATTTATTTGAGTAACCAGATTACAAGCAGTATTGTCTTTGCATGTCAATGTAGCCACTAACTCCAGCATGAAGAGGTTTGTTGTTGCAAAAAAAAAAAAAAAGAAATGTTGCCTTACTTGAGGTATTGGTGTGTAAATACGATGCCTGACTTGTCAAACAAATATTGCACTGTTTAAGGTTAGAAACGTGTGTATGAAGTGTCAGTTGTGTATGACGTGTCAAGTATTTTTGTGCATATTCTGACTAATTTCGTTGGGGTGCTAACTTGGCTTGCCCGGTTGTTTTTTTTTTTTTTTTTTTAAAAAGCAGTGTGCAGAGGTGCATGTGCTATAATAAATCCTGACAAAAGAGGCAAGTTATGAGTTGATGGGGGGTTTTTATGCCAAAAAAAATGATGTGTGTGTGTTTGAGTTCTTTAAGTTAATTCTTCCTCTTTGTGTTTCTTCGCAGATACACCAAAATGGCAAAAGAATGGACACAAAAATACGCAATGTGATGGCATCGTTTGGAAAGCTGGTGGAAAATGTTGTTGCTGGTTCAAACTTAAAATTCCAGGGTTCTGTTTTTCTTTTTTCACTTTATTTCTTCGTTAATCAAAGCATTTTACCCCTCCCTTCCTTCCCCACCTGCGCGCTCATAAGAAGATAGTGTTTTCTCTCTAGGACACGTGCCAGTTTCTGTGAGGTTTCGACTCCCATTTTGTATGGAGTTTAAAAAGAAAAAAAAAAAAAGAAAAAAGAAAAGAAAATCACCATGGTTCTGAACACTCGGCTTTAGCATGCACCAGTAAGAGTTTTTCAACCCCAAATTGGTGATGTTAGTAATTCACTCTGCACACACTTAGTAGAATCAGATGCAACTGGTCTCCTGATGCTGAATATATCAACCCCATGGTGATCCAGCTGGTTCACCGGATGGATCCTGTGGGGTTGATGTTTACTTCACTGTGGGCTGGGTCTTTTTGAAGCATTTCTCGAGAGGCCTGTCTTTTGCCATACCCGTAAATTCTGAATTTGAAAGTTTCAGATTGGCAAAAATCTGTCTGCATTTTATTTGAAAGTGGTAAAATCTGAAATGGGGGGGGGAATGCCTTTTCTCTGAACGATTAGGGAAACTGGTCCCTGTGGCTCCTGGACTGGTGTGATGTCAGTATGTTCTTCTGATCATTAGTATAGGAATTTATTACCTGAGGAAAGAAGTGTATCTTATTCCACTATCAAAGTGTGTGTACAGAGAAGCACAGCAGTATATATCAATGTTAAGGAAACAAAATATAAGAACTTCAATGTTGTATTTTATGCATGTTAATAAAGGTAGGCTATTATATCTGATATGTTTCTGCAAATTAAGTGGATTGTAAGGCTGAACAGTTGGAAAAAATTGGTTCCCCTCAAAGGCTTCCTATTTCTTTTTTGTTATTTAGAAGCCAGTAGATGAGCAGTTAGTTTTATGCCCACTCAAACACTGTCTTCTTGTAGCCCTAAAATATTGATGCAAAGCTAATGGTTGATAATCAACTTGTGGCTCTGTTTCTTTTTAGTTTTCCATTCAATAAAGTTACTTAAACCATAATGAATGACTCATGTTTTTTTGGTTTTCATTTAAAGTGAATATGTGGACATTTGTTGAATGCAAAAGTTCTGTTCTTAGCAGTTAATGACTGATGCTAATATGAATGTTGTAGTCTCTCTCATCCATTGGGGGGTGGGGTGTAAAACTACAGGAAACAATCGATTAGTTAATAAAATTGATTTTGATAGGGGGAAAATGTGAATTTTGACATCTTATTTAGTAAATCTTTGAATGTTTTTGTTTTTAACTCCTGAGTTCAGGGCCAGTTGGAATATTTTAATTTGCTTTTAAATAAACTACATTATTCAAAAAGTATAATTTTATTTTTTCTGTGCAAAAAGATCAACTCGATTCTGAATGATCATAAAGAATCGATGGGTAAATATCATTAAATACTTCTTTTTATGTAGCATTTCACATTAATTGTGTGGTTTTATATACAATTGTACTGATTTAAGTGTTGTATACATATAAACAGCTTAATATTAGTCTTCAAAACTTTTATTAACCATTTATAAATTGTTTCTTATCAAAAAGTGGTTACCTTAGTGTTTTTACAGTTGCATGTAACCACAATTATTAATATATAAAAGTAAATATATTTGTTATTGTAAAGATGTGGCTAATCTTTTTAAAACCCGAACACAAAATGTCAAACCTTTTCGCGCCAAAATTTGTACCTCGTGCTAGTACTCTGACCACCTGACTGCCACGGGTGGGTCACATGATAAACAAGGAAGTGCCCAGTCAGTCAGCAGACAACAACCAAAACAAAACCCTAGATATTCCACTTTAGAGGAGTATTTTGTCTACTTAACATGCCTAAAACAAACAACAAACTATGAATCTGCGTGGAAACATTTTTATCCGTGAAGTTTGCGTTTTGTTGTGTTTGTTTGTCGGAGTTTTAACCGGATTTTCTTCAGTAACGGAGCAGCAGTGGTCTCTGAGTCTGGACGGTAAATGGAGTCTTTCAAACGCCAACGGTTCACTGTCTCTGCCCGCACAGGTGCCCGGATGTGTTCACTCCGCTCTGCAGCAACAGGGATTCATCCAGGTAGGACGAATGGTTTAATACGTATGAGGATGTGACCAGATGTTATTGTTGTGACTGTGTAACTTTGGTTTTCACTACAGCAAGTAAATCTAATCTTCACTTGTGATCCAGATTTACACGACATTGGACCTTTATTTATGATACATATCGATTAAATATAGTTTATTTACAGCATTTAAGGTTGGGGATGCTCTGTGCATTGTGTATGTATTAATAATTAGTTGGCAACTCAATTCAATAAAATGCTAAATTATTTAATCCCTTTCAGCTTTAACTTTTTTTTAATTTTTAATTTTTTAATTTTAATTTTTAATTTTTAATAAAGATTTATATATATATATATATACTTCCATGTCATGTGGTCCTACTCTTCTTCTGTAGTTTTGCGTGTATTTTCTTTTTGATATATTTAATAACTTTCTAACCTTTTTAATGCTTAATAATTCCTCATATAAACGCCACTCTGTACATGGTGCACTCAGATATAATAAAAATGATACACATCAACCTTTAACATCATTAATAAACATGCAGTTAATTGCTCTTTTTTGACTTAAAAATGTCGGCACAAATTACCAGCAGCAGGTGACAGTAAAACACTCGTGTCAAACTTTGAACACAGTTCACAACTGTAAACTAGGAGAGAAGTTAACAAAAAAATTTCCACTTTTCTCTCAGGATCCATATTTTAGGTTCAATGATGTTTCTTATCGGTGGATTGCTTTTGACAACTGGACATACACAACCACGTTTAATGTGTCAGCCCAAGTGAGGTCAGTGTCATTATTTCTAACATTTTTAAAGGCATTTTCTGTCTCCTGATTCGGACTCACCTGTTTGTTCTCCATTAACAGGACCAAACAGAAGGTGCTTCTTGCCTTTGACGGCGTGGACACTGTCGCGTCCATTTGGCTCAATGGAGTCGCTGTGGGCAACACGGACAACATGTTTCGTAGATACGTATGTAAAGCGTAAAAAATGGGCAGTTCACAATGTAAACGTGTGTTTGCTTTCTTCCGAGTAACATCTTGTTTTTTGGTGTGAAGGACTTCTCAGTCAGAGACCTGCTGAAGGACGGGGATAATGTGCTGAGGGTTAGTTTGCTCTCTCCAGTTCTTTACGCGTCTGAGCGGAGGGAAGCTCATTCTGCCTACAGAGTTCCTCCTGAATGTCCTCCAGATGTTCAGAAGGGGGAATGTCACGTCAACTTCATCAGGAAAGTAAGAAGAGCTTCTCCTCTCCTTTTAGAAGTCTGGGAGTAAAACAGTCAGAGCCCAGTCTTACCAAAGTACTGGCATCTCGTCTTTGGGCTTGTTCGTTTTGAGTTTTTCTAACTGATAACTGATAAGATGGAGAGAAGGAAAGTTCTGGTTAGAGAGGTGAAAAGTACGGATATAACAATCTACGTGGATACATGTCAATAAAAATGGTAGTTTGTTTTTTTATTCAGTCATCACACATAAAACTGCAAAAATAAACAATATATAAACAGAAAGAACAAAAACCAAAAAAAACAAGTTTAAGTGATTGAACAAGCAAAATGCTTCTATATACCTGCCTACATTCTTATCAATTCAGCTATTCACCAGTAGAAAAGAAAATTCTTCACACCTGTAACCCTCAGAAACATCTCTTTAAACCAGTATTTTAAGAACCAAAAGGATTACAGATCATTCTCTTGAAAACCAAAAGCTCAAATTTGAATAAGCATTGTTCCATAAATTGATATCTGCTTTCCTGTATTCAAAAGAACTTTTGTACACCGCCGGGGAGTGACTTTGATTTAAATTTTATTTAAAGTTCAGAGTTTCTTTGAGAAAAGTGTCGTCGCTAAAATGTTTACTTTCTTTTTCTTTGTTATTATTACTTTTGGAAATGCACCCTTATTTAATCAATTATTAATTCTAAAGCATGAATTTGTTCTAGCAGTATGAATGATTCTTGCACTAAACACTGACCTTCATCTCATCCCAACCAGCTTGTATTTACTTATTTTAATGAATGTATAAAACATGCAAAACAAAGTCTCACACCGTGCGGACAGCAGCTAAATTGGGACAGTGTTTCTATCTGTGTACATGTAAATGTTCAGTCACTGTTGTGCTGCAGGAGCAAAGCTCTTTCAGTTGGGACTGGGGGCCTTCGTTCCCCACGACGGGACTGTGGAAAGGAGTTCGACTGGAGGCGTTTGATGTCCTGCAGCTCGTCCAGGTTTCCTCTGTTCCTCTTTACAGTACGTCATCAGACATCATCACCAACAGCATTTTCTGAACCTTTTGATTAATTAAAGAAAACAAAAAAACAAGAGAAACTGCAGAGACAAAAATATGGGGATTCTTTGATGCATAAAGATAGAAAGTATTAACAACTCTTTAATTATTTATCTGGTGCATTAGAGCAGCTGTGCAAGATGCAATAGATCAATAAATAAAGACTGAGACTTTTCTAGAAGTGAGTAGTTGCCTTGAAACACAGGAAATATTTAAAGATACTTTTCTTACTGTTGTTTACTCTTTATTGTACTCTGAGGATGAGACTCGACTTCCCTTTGCCACTTTCATACCTGAAAAAATAAAAACGAGTCAGTCATTTTTCTGGAATAAATTAAAATGTTATTGCATCTTTCAATTTTTTTCCCTCTAGTATTTGTTCTCATGTCTTATCCAGGTTTTCATGTGTGGAATAATTTAAGAGTTTTCTTGTTTCTAAATAATCTCTATAATGTGTCTGTGTGTCTAGACTTCAGCCTCTCTCAGTGGAGAGTCCAGGTTGAGCTTCTTGTCGATGCTGTTCAGACAACAAACGGCCAAATCGCTCTCTCTGTACCTGAGCTGCACTCGGAGCAGAGCGTCCACACACAGTTCCTCTCTGGAAGGACCAAGAACACCTTCATCTTGCACATAAACACGGTACTTGACACAAAAGGAAAATAAGGTCTTAAAATGGCGTATTTACTGTAAATTTATTGTATGTATTAAATTTGGGGGGGGGGGGGGCAAAGCCAATAAGCCAATAATAATGATGGTGTTGTGGTTTCATGTCTCTTGTTCCACGCTTTGTTAAGACATAAATTTATTTTCTTTAAAAAAAAGGGGCGTTAACCTAATGGCATAAAACTACAGGTAAATAATTAATAAAAAGTGAAACCACTAAAAACGGATGTTATTTTCTCTGATTATCTAGAAATTAATGTGAAATTCTGTAGTAGGATTTAGAAAATGTTTATTAGTAATAGGAAGTGATAGTATTAGTTTTCTACTCTCCCTCTCATTGTTTACAGGAGAAGAAAAACTGTCTGAAGCAAGAGAGTAAAAGAAATAATTTCCACATTGTTCATTTATCAAGGTCTTAAAAATTCCTGATTTTAAAAGAATTTTTTTTCTTTATCGCTTATGTGGAAATTTTGAGAACTTGTTCTTTGACTTTCAGAGCAGCCCGGTGAAGCTGTGGTGGCCCAGCGGCCGCGGTGACCAGCCCTTCTACCAGCTGACTGTCAGAGGTTTCCAGGACGGATCTTTAATCCTCAATACAAAGTCTAAGGTCAGAGTTCACTGCCTGTCAGCGCTTTTATTCTTTCTATTTGACGTTCAGGCATTTAGCTGATGTATTCACGCAGCACAGTGTGCCGTACAACAAGAGTGGCATCAGACTGGTGATTTTTAGAGACACGTTCACCTCTTCAGTCGTGCATGTAGGTTGTTCCAGCGTGTGGGAGAACCTGCCACAGTTCTTCTGTTTCATCTGTTTCAGGACTCCTGGTTCTTCTTGTCTCATTGTCATGCTGCAGAATCCAACCTGAGCGTCTTTAGTGCCTAAAACTTTTCTTCACAGTGCTCTGTATCTTACATAGTTTAATTACATAGTGGAGCTGTAAAAGAGCTGAACTCCTCCTGAGTCGGTATTTGTTTGTCTTTGTGAAATTCTAGTGATGAACATTGAAATTCAACATAATTCTTTAAGTTTATTTTCATTGTTTAAAATACAAGATCACACCTGACATGACACACAGCTGAGGATAACATTAGTCCAGAATTTATTCATATATTTAGGTGCTCTTGTCCAAGGTGATATCTGGCCCAGTAGCTGCTGCAGCACATGTAATCTGACGAATACAGTTTCAAACATTAAGAAATGCAGACTAAATTATATTACACACACACACACACACACACACACACACACACACACACACACACACACACACACACACACACACACAGTCCTGATTACATCTAGAAGAATTAATACATCTTACAGAGGTGTCTTATCCATTAAAGGTGATCGTTTAAAACAGGACGCAGGATTTGTGGGTGATGTAGTTCAAATTGTCCCAACAAGTAAAGGCTTGCCGCTGTTTGGGAACAACAAAATGACGAGTTATTATTGTGACTGAGGAGTTCAAAGTGATCTTCTCATTAAAGTTGTGTGTGTTTCACTGACCTTTTAAGTGCTGCATGATCTAAAGCGCTGATGGAAGTCTCTCCCGCAGGTGTATTTCCGCACCGTGGAGCTGGTCCAGGAGCCAGTCGTTGGGTCTCCAGGACTGAGCTTTTATTTCCGCATCAATGGGAAACCAATTTTCCTCAAAGGCTCCAACTGGATCCCGGCCCACTCCTTCCAGAACCAGATCTCCCCTGCTGTGTGAGTGTTGTCTGAAAAGCTGCAGTTTGAGTCCTGCGTGCTGAGGGGAATATTAATCACTATTTATGATAATAATCTTAAAGAAACTGTTCCCCACCCGTTCTCCTCTTCGGTCTCCTCTGTGTCTCCGTGCAGGTTTGTTTCTGACTTCTCAGGAGACGTCTTGTTTGAACTCCTGCGTGTGATTTAATGCTGAAGCTGACGTCGTGTTGTTTGTCCTGCAGTTTAAGGAACTTGTTGCAGTCGGCTGTAGATGCTAACATGAACACGCTCAGGGTCTGGGGAGGAGGAGTGTACGAGCAGGATCTTTTCTACAGTCTCTGTGATGAGCTGGGAATCATGGTAACTACTCTCATCCTCTGATGATATTGATATGACTTAACTTTAAATGGCTGCCACCACAAATGTAAAAACGACACACACATTCCTTAATTTTTGAATTGGTAGTTACAGGTGCTATCTGCCATAGTTTCACAAAAATAAACCTTCAAATTAGAATTAGACTCGCTCCGTCTCCCGTTCACTTCTATTGAAGCGCGACCGACGGACAAATCCAAGCGTGTGTTTCCTGTTTCGCTGCGGCCTCCAGTCGGCTCCAGTGGATCCGCAGGGGTCAGAGGTCAACTCCGACTGAGCGGATATCCTCGGCCCAGCCAACAGAAACACTGCTGCGCTGTGTTCGGAAATGTAGAAGCTTGTTTTCTTTTTTTTCACTGTTTTCACTGGATTATCTACAGACCACAGACTGAAACGCCTCTCTCACACACTGTTCAGGGTTTGTCGGTGTGATCGATATCTGTCAGGAACTCGACTTTATTTCCTTTTTCATGGTTGAGTGTCGGCAAATGTCACTGAACTGAACCTGACACAAGAATTTATACCTTTTTAGATTTAATTTTTATCTGATTATTCTGTATCACAGATAAAATAACTGATATAATAAATGATGCTGAACATGTCAGTGATATATCGTCTGTTTAAGCTGCCTCTGAACGTGGGGACGCCTGTATTCAACATCACATAAGCATCTCATAGTATTTCTGAGTCCTCTTTGTCTCTCCTGATTGTTCATACAGAATAAGTGGCCTAAAAAAAGCAGCACAGATGGTGATGTGAGGTAGATTTGCTGCTGCACAGTTGATCTTTGTTTGCTGCTTTCTGAGCTTCATAACACGAGGAGTCCTTTTTATTTATGTGTTTTTGCCCAGTTCACTTCAGTACTGAGTCGGTTTGTCTAATGTGCAGTTAATCTTCAACGTGTGCCAAAGCAGACATCGTGTCATGAGACAGAAGGTTTTTCGGATTCTGCTTGACCGTTGTGACGGTCCGAGCCGGAGCCATGTTGTTTTCATCGGTCGCATTCTCATGGACACAATATCTCAGTAACACCTCGATGGAACGTCTTCAAATTTGGCACAAACATTCACTTGGACTCGAGGATGCACTGATTAGATTTTGGTAGTCAAAGGTCAAAGGTCAAGGTCACGGTGACCTCAGAAAAACCCTTTTTAGCCATAACTCAAGACTTCAAACAGAAATCTTTTAATATTTTATATGACTCTGGATAAACAGGGGTGTAATTGTAGTTACCATAGATGATTATACTTGTTTGGTTTTACCTGACTCATGAACACACTGCAGCACAGATGGATGCTCATCCTGTTCAAATACATATGTGTTTAGATTTGGCAGGACTTCATGTTTGCCTGCGCTACGTATCCCACTGAGGACGACTTCATACAGACAGTCAGAGAAGAGGTCGTCCAACAGGTGAGCTGTGTATTAATCAATTCATTTTATTTCTTTATGGTTCAGAAAATGGCTAATGTGGATTCTGTATAGAAGCGCATGGAAAGGCACCATTTATTGATGGGATTGTTATTTAAATTACATCAATAAATAGCAAATTAACCAAAACAAAATATGTATTTTCAGCTTCCTGTGATAACAGCTGGGCTTTTACTATTAGTATTAAGATAAGATTATAATAAAGATTATAGTTATTAAACTATAGTTTGTTCTATCTTAAATGTGCCCTGATGGCCACTTTGCATCTGTGTAATCAAATTAAATGTGTTGAGTTTTGTCTTATCTTCACCCATCAGGTCGGGCGTCTCAAGTCTCACCCCTCTGTAATAATTTGGAGCGGGAACAATGAAAACGAAGCTGCTCTGGCAACGGACTGGTTCGATATCCCAGCTTCACAGAGGCCTCTGTACGTTAAAGACTATGTGACGCTGTATGTGAACAACATCAGGGAGCTTGTGCAAGAAGTGAGTGATCAGTCATTTGAAAAACCCTGTCCCTGGATTTGTGCTTAAAATGTTTAATCCTTTATTTCTAGTGTGTTTTTTTTTTCTTTTATAATCCTGTAAAATTCAATAGAAACAAAAGGCGAAGTGACGCTGTCTGATATCTCCTTCAGGAGGACCAGAGTCGCCCCTTTCTCGTCTCCAGTCCGACAAATGGGGCTGAATCGGAGCGGGAGGGATGGGTGGCAGCGAACCCCTACGACCCTCACTACGGAGACACTCATTTCTACAGCTACACCGTCGACTGCTGGGACTGGAGGAATTTCCCTCGGACGCGCTTCGCCTCTGAATACGGCTTCCAGTCCTGGCCGTCCTTCTCCACTCTGCAGCCGGTGACTGAATAAATCTTCCAGCAGGGTTTTGTTTTGCTTGATGAATCTGAGGTTTCCTTATTTTCATTTTTAACATATTAAGGACCAACGATGGCACCACGGTTAAATATCTTTGAGAAAAACCTCATGGGGTATTTAAATCCAATTTTTAACTTCTACTACAACTACAAGTGTCTCTAGTATAAGTAAAAACCATAAGTGTCTATAACAGTTCTTCATGAAATACCTTAGTGCAGCAAATGTGACCTAGATTTCTAAAACCAAATAAAAGAAAACAAGACATTCTATCCAATATAAAATTAACTTTAAAATTGGTGAAATAATTGCAGAAAAGGCTACATTTAAAATGAGTTGAAGATGCAGAGTTGGTAGAGAGATGCTGACATTGTCCATCACATCGTTCAGATCAATAAAAGCTCTTAATGTTTTTTTTCCTTGTGGTATAAAGTATTTTTTTTACATGTCTGTTGTTGTGATGTTTCAGGTTTCTATAAAAGAAGACTGGAGCTACAGCAGTAATTTCACTTCCCATCGTCAGCACCATGAGGGCGGGAACCAGCAGATGTTACTGCAGGCTGCTTCACACTTCAACCTGCCGAACTCCACAGATCCACTGAAAAGATTCACAGACACTCTCTACATCACTCAGGTGAGACACACACACACACACACCACCCCAAACACCTGGCTGATACTTCGCTGTTTTTTACTTAAGTACAATGTGCACTACCTGAATATCATATGGATAAACAATGTAAATCTTACAGACGAGGATTAATGTGAAGAAAAAAAAAATATATATATATATATTTTTTTAATTCTGACTTTAATCTCAGAATTTCTTTAGAAAGTCAGAAAAAATTAATGTGGCCTTAATGTAAAAAAATGTTTTTTTTAATAAAGTAAGAATTAAAAAAAAAAAAATCACATATTAATTCTAAAAAAATTTTTAAAAATCACATTTGGCCCTGATATAAACATTTTTTTTTTTTTTAGAAAGTAAGAATTCTGAGATTAAAGTTAAAATCCTAAAAAGAAAATTCAGACGTAGCTGTAATTCTCTTCTGAAAATTTAAAACTAATGAGCTATATAATTACCTTGAACTTGGTTTTCCACGTCGCTCTCCGTCATCACCGGAACAAAGATAAACTGACTGAAGTAGGTCATCAGTGTGTGAGGTGTGAGCGTTGCATGTGTTAATGATCATGTTTCTTGTCCAGGTCATGCAGGCTCAGTGTGTGAAGACTCAGACAGAGTTTTATCGGCGGAGTCAGACTGAGATCATTGAGGGCAAAGGTCACACTATGGGCGCTCTCTACTGGCAGCTCAATGATATTTGGCAGGCACCTTCCTGGTCGTCAATCGGTGAGTGAACAGCTACTTGTGTTGACACCACGCTCATTTTTTTTTGTTGTTGTTGTTGGTCTCGTTTGTATTTTGAACTCCTGCCGACTCCTTCCTGACTTTGTAGGAATTTGACATTGCATTATAGAAGTCAGTGTGGCCCTTATATATATAATCATATATATATCATATATCATTTCCCTCTTTGTTTGTGTGTGCAGAGTTTGGTGGGAAGTGGAAAATGCTGCATTATTTTGCACAGAACTTCTTTGCCACCGTCCTTCCTGTTGGGTTTGAGGATGAAGACACGCTGTTCATCTACGCCGTCTCAGACCTGAGTCACGACCTGAAGCTCAGGGCTGCGGTACGGTTTCAGTCGTTAACTGTGTTTTTGAAGGCGCTTTTTTTTTTTCCCCAAGCAACTCACATGAAGTGAATCCAACCTCCACAGGAGTAAAGAGCCTCCATTTTTTTTCTATTATTATTAATTTCCTCCCTGTGTAGTTCATTTCAACCTTAAAATAAAATACAACAGGAGGCAATTTTCAGAAGTGCATTGAACACAAGGGTTTGAGCGATATGTGCGTCTGAAGTAGTTTATGTGTTCGGATTCAAGCTGTTGACGTCTGGTAGTTTTCTCTAAGTTTAAATGAAGCAGGTCACGTTGACATTTTAAGGCTCCATTTTAAATCCAAGCCCTTAGTTTCTCATCCATACGCCACTTTATTCACGTACAGCAAGATAATGATTAAAAATGAAATGAATCTTAATAAAATGGAAATACAGCTCAGCTCTACATGCAGTTTTTATAGATTTCCTGAACTCTAAATTGTTATGCAATATTAACAAGTCTCTTTTTCATATTGTCACCTCCATTGTTTTAGTAATGTGCAACATCAACTGGCTAATGTTTAATTTTTATTTAAATATACGGTCATTGCAGAAGCAGGTCTGTTCTTCTGTCCATCAGGTGTCCGTGTACTCCTGGACTGATCTCGATCCTGTGTGCTCACTGAAGTCAGACCTGGTCCTGGTCCCCGGGGGCAGCGCTGTGGCCATTTTCAAACAGCCGGTCGCCGCCCTGCTGGCAGGGTGCGGACGCTGCACCAGGCTCACCTGCCTGCTCACCTTCCACCTGGAGGACAGCGGCGCTCAGCTGGGTCCCACCAACCACCACTTCCTCTGCTCACCCAAAGACGCTCAGGGACTCCAGAGACCAAACATCACAGTGAGTCCCCTTGTCTTATTTATGCACATATTTTTAAATAATAAAAGACGGAAGACAGAAGGACGAGGCGGAAAATAACATGTGGTAGAGGTAAAACAAAATCAAAATGTCATGGCTCTGAAATATAATTATTGAAATTTTAATTAAGAAAGGTCAAAAGGGCAAAAAGTAAAAGAGTAAAAAGAACCATATGTCATTGTCTAATATTGAAGACAGAAAAATTAGAAAATTAATTTTCTAATCACCCTTGTCTTCTCACATATCAAACATGTAATATCTCAGACACATCTGTGAACTTGTGACTGGCTTGATGTGTTACCTTGTTTGCCTCGCAGGCCACAGTGCAGCAGGATCCGACCGGCCTCACCGTCACCCTCCGCTCCGCCTCTGTGGCTCCTTTCGTCTGGCTCGACGTGGGAAACATCCCCGGACGCTTCAGCTCCAACGGCTTCCTGATGGTTTCTAGCAACGTGACGGTCAGTTTCACTGCGTGGCGTCCCACCAGCGCCGCAGAACTCTCCAGATCCCTCACCGTCACATCTTTGACCGACGTATACTGACCTCAGACCAGAGGGGTACCAAAGCACGAAGGAAACAGATGGGTAAACTGCTCGGATGCTAAATCACCATTTATAGAGCAGCAGATGAGCTTGTATATGAAGGTTATTGTGCATTTTTATGACTAAAGCATTAAACGGTCGTGTTTCTATAAACCATGAAGTTTATTTTCAGATGTGGAGACATTTCAGATTTGACCTCTGGGACAGGGCGGAGCCTCCTGGAGTAATGAGTGTGGTCCAGACCAAACTAGCATGTTAGCTTCTGTTTAGAATGATTGCTAAGTTGCTAGCTAGTCAGGTACTTCCAAAGAACACACAGCAGAAGTTGTCAGTGTTTTTAACAAGCTATAGCTACCTTAACCACCTGGAAACGGCAGGGTCTGCAGTCCCTAGCAAATATGGTGCTCTAAGCAAAATTATGTTACGTGACCATAGCAGCAAATAAGCATCTTTATTAGAACAAAAATGCAATTTTGGCGAAGATGTATGTGATTATGAAACTGGAAAAATGCAATGCTGAGGTCTCCAGATATAAATTGCCTCCACGTCAGAAATCAAACCTTGGGGTATGTAGATGATATATATTCATGCTTCAGTCATAAAATGCACAATAGGTTTGTCTCCGTCTCAGTGTTTAAAAGTGTCTTTTAAAACGCATACTACGCCTGAGGCTCGGTCCTCGTAGAGATTTGGAGGCCAGACTGATATTTTTCTACCGTAGCTGTTGCAGTCTCACTAAGTGCCGATTTTCTGAACTTGTTTTCTTACCAAACAAAGCAGAAAGCAGGAAGAAGCAGGGAAACTTTGATGCTTTACATGACGCTTTCATTCAAACACAAACCTTCAGACAAAGGAATGAAATGTGCAAATATCAATTCACTTGTAATAAAGTTGTACAGAAGATATCTTCATGTACTCATCCTTGAATTTGCTGTTGCAGAGGAAATATAATCAGGACTGAGTTGGATCTGATCGATGAAGGTGTGTGCACTGAAAACAATTTTCCTTTTGTGTGTGTGTTTTGCATTTTTGCACATTGTTCAGATAATTACCAGAGCAAAGGCTCTAATACTTGACATCATGGATGTGTTGTATTGGACGCAGTACTGTCCAAAGAATTAATTGTTTTTCATTGGTTTTCAATTGAGATCAGTTTGTAAATATTAGTTTTTGATATGTGAGTATTTTTCAGTGTTGCATTGATCGATGTTTCTTACATGAACTGTGGGGTTGAATACTTTTTGCAGACGCTGTAAGTTAATGATTTTAAAGCAATAAACACATACATACATTTTTCTTTATCAGTCCGTTGATTAAATTGTTTTATTTATCCTTTAAAAGTTAATGAAACGATAGAAAATGGTGGAAACTGACGTCTTCAAACGTCTTCTGTCTCAACATCAGTCCGAATTCTGCGCTAACAATTAAGTAATGAAATTATAGCTTTTAGAAACAGAGACCGGCTGGTACTGATGAGTTCAACAGTGACTCACCTTCCCTGCTCAATAGTGGCAACGATGCACTTTTTATCACATGACATTAATAAATAGCTCCACGACTAGATATAACTTCACTGATAAGCCACATTTATAAAGGGTTATTAAAGGTTAATAATTCACTAATGCTTAGTACGTCAGCCATCAATTACTAGCCATTAATAATAGCAGCATATGGGTTGCCAGGTTGGTAGGCGATCTTCCTCCAGCATGATTCTTTGCTTATTTTTCTATCTTTTAAATTCATTGGAGACCTCCCTCTTTCCATCTTTGTGCCAATGGTGCCATACAGCTTCCATGTTAATGAATTAATCATTCACCAATAATAAAACTCTGATCTGGTCTAAACTATTATTATTTTACTAGTACTTCTAAAAACCTGTGAAGTAAAGGCCTTTAACTTGTACAGGAGGATATTTATAATGTGATATTGACACTTTCTGTCCAGTTAATGATCTGAATACAAATAAAACAGCTTTAAATGGACGTTTTAAAGTGGTTTTGTGTTAAATATACATACAGTATATTATTGCACCATACTCACTGTGTGGTGTTTTGCAACTCTTTACCCTGCACTGACCAGCAGCTGCCACTAGGCGACGACAGGGACCTTTAAACAACCACATGTACAAGTGTTTATGATTTTTTTTTTTTTTCACTTTCAGCTGTTTCACAAATGAACTGAAGGCGGCACAGCTGTAAACTGAGTCTCTCTGCGTTCAACATCCTGCATGCTTTAACTCTGTCACCCCCTTACACACACACACACACACACACACACACACACACACACACCAAGGAGTGTGTGTGTGTGTGTGTGTTTGTGTGTGAGTGAGAGAGAAAGTCAGCCACAAAAGAAAGCATTGAATCGGTGAGTGCACGCGGTCGGTCACCTCCATTTTTTTTTCTCTCTCTCTCTCTCTCTTTGCCTTCATGTGTGTTGCAGTCTGATCTTTGAACCTGGTCAACAGCAGACAGTCCTGGTGGATCAGTCAGACCACCTCAGGACTGCAGGACCGCGACTCCCAAAACCAGCTCCACCAGAGAGGACAACACCAACCAAAACCAAAACCCCCGATTCCTTCCCCCGACACTGACATGGACCTGATTCTGGACCTCCAACAAACTCCCCGGGAATCCTGATCTCATGATCTTCCTCTAAAATGTTTCCAGAGTAACTGAAGTAGTCAGATTTTTATTTTACTTTTTATTTTTTATTTTTTATTTTTTTTAACTAACACTCAAAACTAGAGATGTTTAACTTAAGATGCTTTTTAACGTGCCTTTTGGCTTTTATTACAACATCCCAGAGTTTACACGTGACTGACGGGGATGGACAGAGATTTCTGGAGAATATTTTACACTTTTATGGGGAAAATTCATCAATTTCAACGGGGAATCTGGAAGATTTACTGCTGTTAATCTCAGCCAGAAGGTCTCACTCAGTAACTGAAGAAAATCCACTGGCAAACCAAGAGGTGAGCAGATTAATACTCACATTTATTGCTGTTTCTATTGTTTAAACCTCTTATTAAAGATTAATAAACTACAGAAATGGAATGTGCTCATAATTAATTTATTATAGGGTGTAACTGCTATGCCCAAATTGTAAGGTTTGTTTATGACAAGATTAAACAAAGTCATAAATTAAATTAATCGCTTATTTAATTGTTTAATATGAACTTTTTTTTGGTAATGCTTGAGACATTTTCTAGTATTACATCTAACTGGTTTATTTTTTGACCAAATACATGATCATTAATGAATGTTCGATGTAAATAGATGTAATTAATGCATTTCAAGAGTCAATAACGCGCTCAATATGTTGAAAAGCATTTTTATCTTGGATTAAACTTCATAATAACATTAAACTAACATGTATACACATGAGTATACATGTTTTCTGCTTCATGGTATATTTAAATAGCATATTTCATACAAAAAGATGCAATACAATGCACAGAAGCTGAAAAACACATAAAAGAAGGCAAAAATAAGAAATAGGAACGTTAAATACGTAGCAGGAAGAGATTTAGAGACAGAAGAGAGACTTAAAAACTATTCAAAGATGTCTGATAACGTCTCCCTGCCCTCCAGTGTCCCTCAGCAGAGCAGATCTTGTCCCACTTCGGGTTCAGTAATGTCAGTCAGCTGACTGTGGGACATCTGGGGAGGATCTGTCCCGCTGTGTTGACCCAGGTGCTGCTGCCCTCCTGCCCCTACACCACCCCCAAGACTGTGCCGCCTCTCGACTACACTGGTGAGTTGCTTCATCACAACTGCTGCAGGCCTCCCCGTTTATTTGTCAAGACCCCCGCAACTCAAATAATTCCCAGTTCACAGGGGTTTGTTTCCTTGAATTTGGCCCGGCAGTGTTTTAGAGTTGTTGTATAAAATCAACAGATTAGTCAAATTTCACAAGGGGGTTGAAGAAGAATGTTTTATTTTAGTTTATTTATGCCGACACATTCACTGTTTTATCCCACCTTGGCATCAGAGAGACATCATTGATAAACTCTTCTAGTCAAATAGAAAATAAACATCTTTAAAATTAAGCTGATTAGTCACAGGATATGAGATGACACACTGACAGCAGAGGCTTAAAGCACATTCTGATAAAACAGGAGCTCACTGTGAGCTCAGCCTCTGTTCTCTAACCATGTTTAACCCTCTGAGGTCGAGGTATGTCGTTAACATCTGTAAACTCTCCCCTTTCCGTTTCATATTCTTGCGAGATTGTATCTGACTCACAGCCGGAGCTACAAGGCCTCGAAGCAGGCGAGTAGAGTGATAGACAACACTTTGTATTTTAGGTTTTTTTTTTTCATACACTTATCTACGATTTTACTCACATGTTGCAGTATTTTTATGAACCTAAGACTTTGGTAAACCAATTTCAAGCACCAAAACAATTCATCCACATTAGTAAAGGTTTGTTTTCACAAGAGATTTGAAGAATTAAAAAAAAAACTGGGCTTAGATCTTTCAGCATTTGGGCTAAATTATAATATATGTAATATTAGTAAAGAGGGTCTAAAAGAGGCTTCGTTATAGAAAGAGCTGATAAATGTGATATAAAACACTTGGGTATCATCTTACATGCGAGTATCTTAAGAAATAATGTAGAAATTGAGAAAATACCCTTAAATTTAACTCAATATAATCATCATTTTAAGATGCCTCAGTTACTGGTTATCTGCTTTATTATCAGTCCCTCAATCATTGTCTGACTGACAAGAGTTTCTATTATTTTGTGCATTATATCACTAAGGGTAGATAACGGAAACACCTCTCTCTGTAGCTACACCACAAACTACATCTTCCGAAATGAGCCGAAAGTTGAATCAACTCTTCTCTGAAACAGTTTCAACACAGACGAAGCATTTTAACCTTTGCAAAGGGAGGACTGCGTTAGTTTTTTAGTTTTTTTTTTTACGTTCAGTTCAGCAGGAAACCAGGCCTATAGAAACACTGTTCATGAGGTTAGTCGAGTCAAATTCTGAGTCAGTCTTCATCATCTCACTCCTCGCTGTCCTGGCTTGACTCACAGAGCCGCTGACCTCTCAGATTCACCGTCAAACACTCCTCCTTGGTGCTGTTGACACAGTTACAGCCAACTGTGACTGTTGTTCACTCTCATGTCCGCGGTGCATGCTGTTTCCTCCTCTGGCCTTCTGAACACAATTTCTCCTCTGCAAATAAATAGCGTTGTGTTTTTTGTTGTCGTCTGACAAAAAAATGTCTGGGATGAGCTTTTGAAGACGTGACTTTGCTCAATTAACGGCAGAAAAACAAACACGAGCCGTGACTTCACGTGGTTGTAGATACATTTAGTGATATCGTATTTTAAAGAGGTGCAATTGTTCCCGACTTTTAGTTTCTGCCACACAGGAAAAGTAATGTGTATTAGCCACTAGCAACACATGCTTGGCCCCATGCTAATGCTAGCTGCGAGCTACTATAATGGAGATAAATTATATACAGTAGTAGTTCAGTCATGTATATATATATATATATATATGTATATGCATATACTTTTCTACAAGTATTTAACAGGGTTTTTCCAGTATTTTCAGACACAGCCACAGCTGTCTGAGCTGGGTTTTCTTGCCCTGAGTCGAGCCTCTCAGGCTGTAGTTACTTTTAGCTTGTGCACCAACCCCCAGCTCCTCTGTTGTTAGCTCCACGGTTGGGCTTAGGGTCAGCTAACCTTGGGAACAGAGGTGGGATTTTAAATGTTGTCTGAGAGGAAGTCCTGCCTCCGAGACTCAGCTCAGGGCAGAAAAAGTCTAAGGCTCTTCCCTTCAGTCCTCTGCAGTGATTTATCATATGTTTGATTTATAGAAATAAAAAAAAATCCTCTGGTGCACTGGAAGTGACATGTTTTACAGTTTTACAGCAGTTTGTTTGTAATAAACGACAAATACAAACAGGAACTTAAACCACATCAACAGAAAATCCAAGAAAGATGGTGGATTGATGTCACCAAACTCAGAAAAACAAGAGCCTCTAGGACTCTGATGGTGACTGATGATAGAAGAATAATAGCTGTTTCTTCCTCTCTTTCCTGACAGTGTGGGGTTACGGGTTTCTGGCCGTCACTGTGATCAACCTCGCGTCTCTGCTCGGCCTCCTGCTGATACCCTTCACCAAAAAATCCTACTTCCCCAAAGTGCTGACCTACTTCATCGGCCTGGCCATCGGGACTCTCTTCTCCAATGCTGTACTTCAGCTCATACCAGAGGTGTGTAAGAGACGGAGACTAAGTTAGATGAAGCCAATCATCAGGAAAGTCATTTTGAATTGAAAAAAGATGTTTTATTTTAAAATAAACAAAAGATAAATGCTAATATTCTTCTGTTAATCCACAGGCTCTGGGGTTTGATCCCAAAGCAGATAACTACGTGGCAAATGCAGTTGGAATATTCGGTGGGTTTTACCTGCTTTTCTTCGTGGAGAAGGTCCTGAAAATGGCTCTCAGGGTGGAGCATGATGTAAGTTAACAGAGCAGTGTGATTATTAGGTGAAAAACTTATTTTATTACAAAGTCATTTATCATCTTATCATGTTTCAGTTGTAAATCTGCCAGCGAATAGCTCTGGTTTATTGGCCAATCTAGCTTCTAATTGCTGACTACCATGAGGACATCAAACGTCATCTTAGTCATGTTACAGTCATTTTTGCAACATCAAGGTTGCTGGTGTCAAGTATTGACCTTATTGACCTTCTCCAGGTAGAAAAATGAATCTGGCCCATACTGGGGCCACATGTTTGTTCTGGCCCAGTGTACACCACGGTTCCACGGTCCGAATCTGGCCCATATACAGCCTGATTGTTAGATGCTGCTTCCACATCTGGACCAATTGTGGCGCACACACAGAAAATCTTGCAGCTGTCAGACAACACCGGAGGATTAAAGCCAGAATCTGCCCTCATGTGGAAGTATATGGGCCGGACTTGGGGCGGAGGACCCGGGTGTATGTTGGGCCAGAAGTTTCATTTTGCTATGTGGGTCAGTAAATACAAGATGCATGTGATTACATAGAATCCTAACATTGTTAAATATGAAGAATGAAGCTCAGCTTTCAATAACCCCTTGTAAAACTGCAACTTTTCATTTTTACACCACTGAAATATAACATGTTCATAGTGTCGTCCCTGCAGCAGAAACACTAGTAATAAGAAATAAATAAACTATGTGATGAAGAAGTAACAGAAAAAGCCAAATTTGCTAAGCAGAGATATAATGAGGATGAGGATGGTGTAGTGATCCTGAAGCTTCTGGTATGGAGGTTGAGGAAGCAACAGGTTGAGGGATTTAGACCCTGATTCATTAATTTTATTGTTTGTTTATTGTTCCCATGTCTGTCGTCTCCTCAGCATGGCCACAGCCACTTCACTCCTGCAGAGCCGCCTCAGGAAAACTCCCTTCACAACGGAGACATCATGGAGAAGAAGGACTCCATCATCTTGACCAGCATCAGCACCGTCTCCATAGACAAGAGAAGCCCGAGCCCAGACCTTCCGCACGCAAACGTGACACTTTCCCAGGTACCAAACGCGCTCCTGTTATCTATAACGCTATTATCTATAATAGAATAGAATAGAGTGGTACCTGTTGGGAAATGATCAACTGTGTCTGTGCACATGTCACATTAACCTACACAGCCGTTGCAACCTTGTACTCGCTGATCTTTTATCTAATGAGTAGCTCAGCGTGGAGAGATAAGCTTGTAAAAACAGTGAGTCTTCCCTGAAATCTTATCTGAAGTAACTGTGTGCTTGATAGAGATTTGCTGTCCACCACAGTCCTCTATCACAGACACACTCGAAAGGAATCCATCAAGGGTTATTATTGGATTGAGTGTCAATTAAAATCTTAATCAGTCATTAGGGTGTGAGTTTCACAGTCATACATAAAAAAAAAAAAATAAAAAAAATCTCCATAGAAGATGAAACAACAAAAACAGTGGTGGTGTTTTGACGTCTTTAGTTTTTCCGCCGCTCTGAGATTCAGTTTTTGCTCCTTTATTGAGCCGTTATCGGTGACGCAGGCCGATTAGAGCCGCTGTTAATGTTTAACGCTGAAATCTCTTGTGTCATATGGAGGAGTCTGGCTTTCTGAAGGGATCAAAAATACTAAACAAACAGACGTGAAGCCGGCGCTGACGGCCTCGGATCCCTCCTCTGCCGCTAAAAGCTGGGATTGTCCGAGTCGAGCACAAAGGCTCCTTGTTTGGCCGCGGCTGAGAGAAGGGGCGTGTTGTCACCGCAGAGTATCTTCAACCAAATCGCCAAGGCTCTGTTTATGTCCACCCTGTTCTCTGGTTCCCCATTAACAAACACTCGTGCCATTATATTCGTAATTTAAGAGTTCTGTTGCAAACGCAGCACATTTCCCGTTTAGGGAATATATTTCCTGTACTGTCTTTTACATTTTGATGGCCCCAAGATTTGTTGTTTTACCTCACACGTCTTTGTTTTTAGCCGTGGCTCTTCGGATGGTCGGTGTTGTGGAGACATTCACAGGATGAATCCTCCTGACTCTGTGTGAAATGTCTCAACAGCTACTGGACCGAGTGCCACTAAACCTAGTGCAGACATTCATCTGCACCACAGGATGGTCTGTAATAACTTTAAAAAGAAAAACTAGTATGTAAACTGATGACATTCTCTCAGCCTCAGTAGCGCCAGAATGATAAATCGCCAAGCTAGATTTGAAATCATTTCGAAACAGTGTCACCGTTACAAAGTTTCTCCTCCAGAGAAAACTGACAAGTTCATTTTTTAGCTGCCAAATGATCCACTAAGTAAATATCACAACCACAATCCTTAACAAACAACAACCCCTACATTTAAGAGATTGTTGTTGCTAACAGTATCAGCCTCAGAGATCCAGTATTTATCAGGATATAATCCTCAGTTTTAGCTTGTGTTTAGTGATATTTATGTGAACATGCTAAACATCAGCTGATGTTAGCCTTTAGCTCAAAGCACTGCAGTGCCCAGGCAGATGGCTGCTAGCATGGCTGTAGGCTTGAAACCTATTTCTGAATTGTGACTGAACAATATGCAAAAACAATAATAATCAGATTGTGACATGAGTTACAATTCCAGTTGGAGTCATCATTTTTATTTTTCAGTTTCATTTAAAAAATAATAATTTAAAAATAATGATGATGTGATTTTAGTTTGGGACTTGTACTTAACAAACATGATCCTTTATGTCTGGAGAGTTTGTGGTTAATTTATGGTCTGTTGTGACACATTTTACCTTTATCAAAAAAAAATGGCATATTTCACTTTGTCATATTGAGATTCTGATAATATTTAGATGAATTGTTCAGCCCTGTTCTGAGTGCAGTGAGAATAGCTTTGTCACTGCAGTTCAGATTCAACACGAGGAGTGTTTAAGCAGTCAGATCTGTTGCTCTCTTGTTTGTAATATTGATAAGATTAATGTGTTAACAAAGTATTGATCAGGTGCAAAATGTTCAACTTTGTCCTTCGTATTCTGGATGATTTGAACTTTGGGTTTTAAACACAGAGGTATCGTTGTGTGTTATCTTTGTGACTCACATGTCATTATTTACATACGACTCTTCTTCAGTGAAATCACGCTCCTTTAACCCGTCTCGTCACTCCTCAGAGCGCCAAGGGGTCAGGCGTGATGTGCCACTGGCTGCGTGGGCAGCACATCACCAGCATCAAGACGGTGGCGTGGATGATAACGCTGAGCGACGCGCTGCACAACTTCATCGACGGCCTGGCTATCGGTGCGTCGTTCACCGTGTCAGTACTGACAGGGTTCAGCACTTCAACTGCTATCGTGTGTGAAGAGTTTCCCCATGAGCTGGGTTAGTAGTCATCAGCATTTAACCTCCTCAATACAAGCACACGCTGTGCAGCCAAACATTGTGTAAACCCACAGAACTTTACTTTAAGTTTTTTGGGAGATCCCAAAGTTACAAAAGAGACCAGATATGTCAGGTTGAATGTTGTGACATTCAGGATTTTTTCCATTTGATGGCACGGTGCAGTGAAGAGCTGGAGTGAGCTGAAACAAAACAAACATCTCTGATATTGTGGAATAAGATGATTCCTCCATCCCTACAGCTGCTGGAAGAGAAATCAAAGGGTGAAATTGGCTTTAAAGGGGTTAAAAGCAGATTATATATTCTCACTCAAACTAAAAACGCCTTTAAGAATCAATGATCTTTATCGGCCTCTGCTGACAGGCTGCAGAATTGCACCAAAAATGTGTCTTTTCCAAGACTCTGTCCTCGCCTCTGTGTCTTCAAAATGAAAATGCATGGATTGTCTAGTTACTTTAGAGGCAAGACAGAGATGTATTGTATTAAAGAGAAGAAGGATAATGTTTATTGGTGAAACTGCTTCAGCTTTTATGCTCCGAGCTGCTGGAACATGCTGTTTAATCATATCTTTTAAATCTAAACTGAAAACTCTGGTTTGCTGCTCTTAATTTACCATTTTATTTTACTTTTATTCCTTATTTGTTATTTTTTAATCACATTTTATTCCTACTTTTTAATAGTTTTATATTTAACACCTTTTTACTGATCATTGGGGTCTTAATTATTTTATTTTCTTAATGGTTTTTTAATTAATGCATATCATTTATGAGTTTTAAATGTTTTATCTTTGCACTATCCACATAGTTTTGTGGTTGCAGCTTCCTTGATAAGTCATGCTCAGTGCAGCACATTGTGCTTCCACCTGGAATCAAATGTGCTGTATAAATAAAGTTTTGCTTCTTTGTCACACAAAGAGTGGAATCATAATGCAGCGGGAGTGAGCGGGTGTTGTTGGGAGCTTCATTAAACTTCAGTGGGTAGTAATTCTGTAAAGTCCTATCAAACCCTTAATCGTTATTACACCAACAGTTACTTTATATCATCACTAGCTGAGTACAGGAGAGAAAAACACGAACATGATGCTTCTGACACCATGTTCAAACGGCCTGTTCCTCTTCACTGTATCAGTGTTGTGTTTTCCTTCTCTGTGCAGGCGACTTCGTGATCCTCCTGAACGCAGGTATGAGCATCCCTCAAGCCATTTTCTTCAACCTGCTGTCGGCGGTGTCGTGTTACATCGGCCTCGTGTTTGGAATCCTGCTCGGGAGCAACGTTGCCCCCAATGCAATCTTTGCCATCGCAGGAGGAATGTTCCTGTATATTGCACTGGCAGACATGGTGAGTTAGATTACACTGTCGGAGGATACTGGAAAAAAAGAAATCCAACATTTTTTTGTCTGAAAATGTTTGTGTCTGTGTCTGTACTTTTTATAATAACCCCATAATCCCATGAAAAGACCAGAGTTTCTAAACTTCTCCACTCTGTCTATTTAAAGAGGCTAGCAGCCATATTTTAATACCAATGTATAAAATGATATAAAAACAATCCAACAATAACTGACTTTAAGTAATTCCTTAATTATAAGACTAATGAGGAGAAATCATTATAAATGAAAATTTTAAGGAATCCTTAAGGGTGTTTTGTGCAACTGTTTTTATTTTAAGGAAACCTTAACTCAGGCTTAATTTGAGGTGTTTTGTGCAACATTTGTGGCCAGAAACATTCCTCATTAATTTTGCTCTTTATCTGCCGAGTTTTTTCCTATCACATTCACCATATAGTAAATGGTGATAATACAGTTTGTCAGTGATGTGTTTACAGCCTGTTGTGCTGCCCTCAAGTGGCCAAAAAAATAAATTAATACTGGTTTAAAATTAATCAAAAATATACAGTAATTAAAAAAAGTTCAGAAATGTTCTGAAATAAAACATTTCTCAAACAGGAGTAAATTTAAAATGATACAAAGATCCCATCATCAATCATTTCGTATTTCTATGAGCTGAGAGTATTTTAAGCAGTTGCTTTATTTGATTAATTTTAGAGATGATAAATATGCTAGAAAACAAGCCTAATTTTAAGGAGGAGAAAAATGTTATTAATTAATTCACAACCTTAAAGTTTTATATTGTGAGTGAGGGGACGTACAAAGGAGTGAGCTGTAGCAGACTGTGCATACACAGGGATCAGCTGACAATATGAAAAACACGAGTCTTATCCTTTTTGTTACGGCTCTTTTTTTATTCCCATCTGGCCAATCTGTATATTTTCTAAAATGCAAAAGTAATGATGACTTGTTTCATTGCACTGGAACAATGTAAAACTCGTAGCCACACAAACTAACCCATTGACACTTGCTGTTTGTGTGTTATTACTTCCCACTATGTGGCGTGTTGGACAATCAGACCAGTGTATATTGTGTGTTAAAGGATTGTGTATGAGAGAGATATCTGATTATCATTGTTAATCACAGTTTCCAGAGATGGACAGCATCGCACGAGAACAGAAAAGAACCTCCGACAAGATCATCTTCTTCCTGATCCAGAACGCGGGGCTGCTGACCGGGTTCATCATCATACTGCTGATCACCATGTTTGCAGGGGAGATCAATCTGGGTTAGAAGGGGAGGAAAACACAAACTGGAAATAAATATAGTTAATGAGCTGCTTCCATTTCTGCTCTCAGCTCACTCGGCTGGGCAGGAAAGTGAATGTAAAGTGAATGTTTTGTACAAACAAAACTAAATGTTTAAAGGAAAAATTATGTTTTCTTTTTATGTTTTGACTATCAGTTTAGTGGAACATTTATTCCATAAAAAGGGAAAATCTTTACAATCATTTGATGTATTAAATCTAGACAAATTTGTTTTAAGGAGACAATAAATTATTTTTTCAGTCTTCATATATTGTGGAATATCTCACATTTATTATACCTCAGAGTCGCTGCATTGTGAAGTAACACATGTTCTGTTATTGTGACAACAGTCATTGTTCTGGCTGTTATGGCAGCAGAGTTTGACCTGTGTGTTTTGTGACCTCTTTGACCTTCACTGACTATTTTTCAAGGTTGTATAGCTGGAGTTTTTTGTTTGTATGTTTTACAAAATCTGTTTCAAATTTTAGACACTCAAAAAAATGTTAAGGTTTCGATGACACCTGTGGGAATGATGCATCTCATTGTTTGCGCTCTTGTAGGTCGAAATACAACATTAATGATATTAATATTGATTTTTCCAAGTCATATACAAAAGAAGAATCAACATACACAAACACACACACCCAAGAGGCTACAATGAACTTTCAAAATATAAAATAATCAACCATAGGGAATACAAAAAAGAAAAAACAACAACTATTCCACAGAAAAATTGAATATAAAGGATTTTGCAAAATTATGTTTATGTTTAATTTATATTTATTTAGACAAGTCCTTTTTTGGATGGATGATAATGGATGGAATGTATACGTTTACTTTTTCTGATCTCTAAAAATATTCAAATAAAACAAGGGCTCACAAACCAAAAAGTACTGATCCAACAAAACAATAAAAGATAAATAAACAACTGGCTATATAATTAAATACTGTCTTGTTTCTATATGGTAACAACAAAATAATTAACTCTCAAATTAATAGTACATACACAGTTACACCATAATAAGTAAAATAATGTCTTTGACGAATATTTAGTTTTTAATATTTAGTGACGTATCTACATTTAATGTAGAAACAACTTTATGCAGACACTTAGTCAGCCAATCAACAGGAAGTGGCTTAAGATGCATTCCGGTCACACCGTACAGCCCGTAATTATCTACATCCATTGGTAAATTACCAGCAGCCGAGTGGCAAAAACACGTAACACTTCACATCTTCCTCCTAGTTGTAACTTTGACTCACGTATATCGAGAACTGTTGACAGGCACTTGGTGAGATCATAAGTTTTAACAAACCTGTGTTACATATAATGAAGTCCCCAGGCGGAACTGATTTGTCTTTTCTTTTTCCCCTTCTCTCGACTTTCCCTGAACGCAGCATGTCCGAGCTGATGAGTAAGTCGCAGACAAACGAAATGAGCATGATTTTGAGTTTCTGGTAACTTTGCTGCTCTCTTCACATTCCGACTCCACCTTGAATCGTCGAGACAAAACAGGTAAGTCGTGTTTATTTCGCCTTTTTTTTTTTTTTAGTCCTACAGGAATCTCAGAGAGATTTTGGACTTCAATCGGCAGCTTTGTGATGCTAACACTGATGCTAGCTGCTGTTAGCTAATCAGTGGAATTAAAGTCTTGTCCGTTTATATTTTTCTCACAGGAGACACGTCTTTTATGGTCTGAACATTGGTTTGTTTAATGCTTGATGTTTACTTGCACTAGTTGGTCAAACGGCTAACAAATTACGGATTACTAACGTTGCCTGGTTTACCGTAAAAATCGTAAAAACTGACTCATGTGACTTACCTTGTCGGTTTGAGGGTCACTGTGGCCAGAGGTGAACTTCTCTTTCATTATTTAACTTAAGCCTGCGAGGATGGAAAGATTAATCTTTACTGCAGTGGAGGAAGTAAAAGCACTGCATTTCTTCTTTGAAATAAAAGTACTCCTGTAATGTGAACTGATATATCACAATAAACTACAATATTAATACAGGTGCATCAGTGTGGAAGCAGCATTTTCCTGTTGTGCCCTCTCCAATGATAAATCTGATACACTAATGTGTTTTCTAATTTATTTTATGTTTGTGTGCGTGTGAAATATTGAATGCCATTCAAATGTAACTATGTGAGACGTTCAGAGAGGAAATGTCTCTTTTTAGGGAACTGCATACAAAAAAATGTCACATGCCAAAAAGGTTGTATTGCGTTGCCTTTTATTAGTTCATTATGTGTTTTTAATATAGAATTTAGGTCTGAACAGTGACTACTAACTAAAGCTGTTAAATAAATATATTTTGGAGTTTAAAAAGTACAATGTTTTGCTCTGAATTGTTGTGGAGTAGAATTATCAAGTAACATAAAATGGAAATACTCAAGTACAAGTGCCTTAAGTTTAAATTGTAATCATACTCATAAAGTAACATACATTATGTAAAAGGAAAGTAAGCAGTATACTATCCGTGTTTTACAGTCCACTTACCCTACTTACAATTACACACTTTGAACTGTAGCAATACTTGTTTTACAGCAGACATTTTGACTTGTCATAGAAAGAAAAACGCAGGTATTAATAATAACATTAACAATGGCTCTCTTCTATTCAAGATGTCCCAACAATTCATGACGTTGTGACAGTGAGTCAGCATAAACAATAACAGGAACCAGAACCAGAAGCAGCTGAGGAGAATTAGTCATCATCCATTTTTATATTTTACTGATAAATCTGTGATCAGCTGCGATCAGATGATTTATCATCCTGGTGCTTCTCAGCAGATGAGCTAATTTTATGATTTGCATGTAAAATCACTGTCTGCAAAGTCAATGCGAACACTGCAGCTGTCAGATTAATGGATTCAATGTACACTGTTTCCAACTGAAATGCAGTGAAGTGAATCTCTATGAACTGGATCGTGAAAGTGTTGAAAGATATGTCTTTAAAACAGTGTCACCTGAGTAGTGACAAGTTTATTTATCACCAGTCTGGATGTTAAAAAATTTAAGTGAACCTTCCTGTATCAGACTACAATAAAAGTATTTGAATAATTTTAACTTAAATGGGGTATATGCCCACAAATGGTTAATATCTTTACTTAATAGAATACTTAGACAGACTGTGATTATTAGTTGATTATCTGTTGAATTAATTAATTTCTATTAGTTTTTACTGTTGTGTCATACTTTTAAAATGGTCTCTCCCACATGGGATTACATTACATACAATAATGTGAAATACTTCCTGTGACTGACATTTATTTTCCAAATGAAAAATAAATTATCAAAGCATTTTTTTCTTAATGACCTCACATTGTCAAACAGTCACATCCACAAGAAAGTGATATTTGTTAGTTTAACTGAACAACCTCTTTCTGGTGTTACAATAGAAAACAACGTGCATTTCATTTCCTACGTCATTTAACTCGCATAACTGACAAAGCCGATCTTTCAGTACCAACATGAGGTCCCATTTCCAAATGTAATGGTAAGATACCACATCTCAGTTGGCCACTCAGAGATCGTTACTTTCTAAGCAGATTAAATTTCAATCTAATTTTCAGTACTGAACTAATTTTGTCTTATTCCAAGTCTCATCAGTCCGTTCTTCTTTAAACAACTCAAAAACAAAATCTTTAATCAAACCAATTTTAGCTCGTTCTTTCAAAGATCCTCACACCCTGCTCTAGAAGTAGTGTGCATACTCTGCCTCTGTTAACAGATCAATTAGCAGACTGATTATTTAAATGTGAGTACAGTTTAGAGACGTAGGGACAGGCTTTAGGACACTGTGATGCTGAAAAGAAACAAGACAAAAGGACAAAGGAATGATTATATGATTGCTAACCTACTGACCTGGCCATTTCCTCTCACATTTTATCCTCCTGTGTAATTGTAAAGCAGAGCCATGGCTAATATTCAGATCCGGAAATTTCGGGATGACGACGCCGAGGCAGTGAAGGAGATCTTCACCCTGGGGATGAGCGAGCACGTGCCTTCGTCCTTCATGCACCTTCTGAAACAGCCGCTGACCCAGATGGTGCTCATGTGCATGTTCTGCGCTCTCATGACCAGCTCCAAGTCCTTCCTGCTTCCCATCCTGGCCGTCACCCTGTCCCTGGCCGGAGCCCGGCAGTTTGTCGTCTACATGTTCAACAGATACATCGAGACCTCCCTGAGGAAGGACCTCAACGACATCAGTGAGACCTACCTGAAGCAGAAGGACTCGTGTTTTTGGGTGGCTGAAAGCGACGGCCGGGTGGTCGGCACGGTGGCGTGCCTCCCTGCTGAGAATGCGCCTGAGTGCTTGGAGCTGAAACGCATGTCTGTGTGCCGCAGTCACCGCGGGATGGGCATCGCTAAGGCTCTGTGTCGGACAGTGGGTGATTTTACTCGTGACAGGGGTTACGCAGCAGTCGTCCTGTACACGTCTGTGGTGCAGACAGATGCTCAGAAGCTGTATGAGCACATGGGCTACGAGAAGATAAGAGAGTTTGTTGTTCCTGAGGTTCCTGCCAAAATCATGAACTTCACTCTGTTTGAGTACAGACTGGATTTACACAGAGACGGGAAAAGGGGATTGAAACTGACATAAAGACTTTGTGAGATTCCATGGCAACTGTATCTTCCATTCATTCAGTTTAAGTTTTCCCAGCATGCATTGCACTTGCGGCAACTAAACACTCAGGACGACACAGTGCCCACATGAGGAACTGTTTTTTCCACACACTTGCAGTACAAGGTCAGGCTTGTTTTCTCTTGTTACACATACACAAATATTCATTATTGTTTTCGGAACGTGTCTTTAAAATATAACATGTAATATTAGTTTAGGAAAGTCTGCGATGTCCATGGTTTCTGTTGATTGAGCTTCTTGAAAGTCCTTTGATTATTTCAGTTTGTGAAAAATTCCATTAGTTTTTACATGATGCTTCAAATAAAATCATAAGTCTCAAGTTGCTCCTATAATTTGTAACATTCATTATTTTCTTTGGAGGACAATTAGGGATGCACGGGTCCCGTTATCGGCTCTGATACTGGTCTTATTAAAGGGAAACTCCACAGATTTTACACATCAAAGTTGTCTTAAGAAATACTACTACATGTGTCTCCAGGAGGAGATGCGTGAAATCTGATAAATGTGATGAGACTTGAAGTAGCTCAAGGCTACATTAACCACTACTAGCATAACAAACCAAATCTCTAACCGAACATTCTTTGATTGAGTTGCATTGTGGGTAATGTGGGCACTAGATTTTGACAAGGAAGAAGAATGTGTGGAATAAAAAAAGACAATATCTCTTTTTCTTGGTTAAAGAATTAGTAAAACGATATTTCTTTCTTGCAGCTCTAGTTATAAACCTGGGAACTCGAAGGTGCTATAATAGGCAGGATACTGTTTCATGTCAATCAAAATCTGCTTCTCCCAAATATGAATTTTTATAGTTTTCAAACTTTTTTTTTTTGCCCAGTGTCACACTTGACATGCAATGAGACGTACTTCATCTTTTCACCTAAAAATACACCCACATCTTCAGTTCCCTTTTTTCCTGCTGGTGAGCTTTGTGATGTGGTCGGGGAATTGTGTCAGTTGTTTTTTTTTTTTGTTGTTGTCTGTGTGTGCAAATAGTCTGAAACAGAACCTCAAAGCTTCACATTCTTTAACCGCAGCCATGCTGCTGGAGGCCTAAAAGAGTCTGGCACCTGTTCAAGCAGAGATGAAGGAAGAACAAGGCCTTTCTTTATGAGAGCCAGAGGAAGGTCGTGTCCACGGGGTGAAAGAAACCTGAGGTGCTGATGTGGGGTTTGTTGGTTGGACGTTCAGCAGAGGTTGTTGTTTATTTTTTCATTACAGATCTAATGAATATCTCAGTTTCATATCTAATTTGTGATTTAAATGAGGATACAAGAAAAGTTTCAGCTGTCAACTTTATTGTCCCGCATGTTATATTTAGGAAAAGTTGAAACGCAGAAAACAAACTAAAATAAAGAATATTAAAATGTTTCAAACATATTGCTCAAACCTCACACAGAAACTACATGAGTGGCTGAGTGGAATTATCTTGATTACCAACACTTGACCTTGTTTTCTAACGTCTTTTTTCGTTTGTTTTATTTTATTTTTTATTTTATTTATTAATTTTTACATAATAGCTTAATTTACCTACACTGGTACTTTACTATCTTAAGTTAAAAAGAGAAATATGGTGTCTCAGGTAAAGAAGACATAACATTTTTCCAGGAAATTGCTCTTTTTGTATAAAATTAGTTTCAAATAAGAATATATTGCAAAAAAAAAAAAATACCTGCATTTTAACCTTAATACATGTTGTCTACTGACTGGTGAATACAATAATACACTTAAAATATTTATAGTCGGATTGCAGTGTTAAAGATTTCACCGGGCTCCTTTGTGGTTGTCGGGCGGGCCGGGTCAGGCAGCAGCTCGGACACCTCAGGACGGATGTGTCCGGTCAGAACCTCCATGGATGGATGTAGCCTGTCAGGGACGAAGCTGAGCGGTTAGCCGGATTTTAAGACACAGACAGGTAAGATTTAGCTCTCATTTCTCTCTGAAACGAATGGGGATAAAGTCAACACACATTTACACACCTGTCTTGAAATATATATGTGTGTGTCTTTTTAAAATTAACCCGATAAGTGGCTTTTTTTAAAAAGAAATTCAGACCCGAAGCTAACGGCTACCGTTGCTAGCAACTGGTCAGGGAGTGTCCCACTGACAGCACCAGACATCAGCGTCAAAAGTGATGGTTTTAATGCCAGTTATTGCTGTTAAAACACAATATTTGCACATTAAAACTACTAATTATGGAGTCAACACCGTTACGAACATTTAATGAGCTTTGGTTGGCGGTTGAGAAGCCAGTGTGGGTCCGGATAGCCAGTCCTTAATAGGATCTTTAGGCTCTGTTCTCATTTAAATTAATTAATCTCAAATCTAGATAGTTTTTTTCCCCTTATTTCTCATCCAATTATCTCAATTAGTCAGGAGGAAATGTCACGTCAGGCTGCAGCCACACCCAATGCTGTGATTTTTTATATGATTCCCACCAGACATAACAGGCAAAAAATGTGAAATAAAGGATAAATAGCTGCTATGCTCGTAATGTGAACTAAATCAGTGAAAATAACATTATATCTGCTCAATGAGGCAGTGGGATTTGTTGGGAGCAGTGGTCTCTAGACTCTGAACACACTAGATGGCACCAAATTACAGATTTAACATCTCTATGACACATTTAGACCCATAGACATGTTTAATTTACACTAAAATGATGTTTTGTTTACAATTTCTGTGTGTAATTTGATGCTAATTTGATGCACAATGGAATGAACTGACTCTGGCCCTGTTTTCTATGGATGACCTATTTTTCCTTCATGCATGGCATAGTGATGAGACCAGGCCTGAATATCATTAGCATGCACCTAGTGAAAATAAAGCCTATTGCATAATTAGGTAATGTTTATCCACTATAAGTGGGGTTGCAGTTTAAGTAATTAATCCCCTGATTTTTCGAATAATCAATCGTTTCGTTAAAGAAAAATGGTGTCAAAAATAATGAAAATGCCCGTCACAATTTCCTACAGGCCCAGGGGATTTCTTCAAATAGTTTTATAGTTCTAAATCTAAAGATACAGTATTTACTGTGATTTACAGAAATATTAAACATAGAAAATCAGCAAATTTTCAACTTTAAGACACTGGAACCAGTGAATATTCAGTGACTTAAAAACGTACTCACGGGTTATTGATAATCAAAATAGTTGCTGTGTAATGTTTCGTCAACTAATCGATTAATCTATAAAATACACTTCAACACTCAGTATAATTAGTCTTAGCATTAAATATCAGATTAATGAAGGCTACATGGATCTGGTAATTTAGGGAAAATATACAAATACAGTATATACTGTAATTTAGAGAATAAAACAAATTAATATGTATGATATAATAATAATTTTGTGTTCGCAGAAGAGTGATATATTTGCACATGAACTAAAACTTACAATCATGAGGCTACCACAACATGTACAGTATATATTAACGTTGCATTATTTATAGAAAGTTAGGATGATCATTTCTGGGGCTTAAAGATGGGTTTAATGAATTTAATTGACTCTGGCATGTGAATTACATATAAAGTAACCTCTTTATAAATGGCACCAGTGCTGAATCCATTAATCATTAAGTCAATTAACTGGAAAACAATTGATTTATATTTTTAGTAATGACTAGCTGAAACCATTTATCAGATAAAAACACAAATATTTCCAACAGTTAATGTTCACATAATATCCTTATACACTGAATGATTTGATTTTCTTGCTGCAAGTCAGACGAGGTCATCAATTTAAAGACATCACCTCAGGATCTTGTTGTGTACATTGAACACTTATCATTATATTTTATATAAAATTAATAAAACTTGACTTAATTAAATGAAAAAAATCAGATTAAACTGTCTTTTTGGTCATAAATTGAATTAAGATTTACAGCCTTAAAAAAAACTTTTTTGTGACGTAGCTAGGAATTCTTTAAATTGATGACATAATGCTGATATCGTGATGACTCCTGACACAGCAGTTTGCATTTCAGCCCTTTCATTCAGCCATCTATGAAAGCACAATCTCTTTCTCTTCATTTATGTCACATTCCTGGACACAGTCACGCTCGTCTTTACCTTGTATAGTGATTTGTTCCTCCCGGACCTGCAGACCGACTGAGGTGCGCTGTGGTTGTAACGTTCCTCCTTTAAAATCCCAGAGTGTCACCTCTGTTCCTGCAACCTTCCCGTTGACCGGTCTGAACAGGCTCGCAGCAGCAGCAGACGTTTTTTGGGGCTGAGCCGGTGACGCCTCTTTCTCTGCCATTGTCCTTGTTCTCTGTAAGGAGGCAGTTGTTCTGATTTTGGCTCTCTGCTAGTTGTCTCTTTATTATTTCCTCTGTGAGCGATAAGGACTCCCCCCCCCCTCTCCCCTCCCTCCCACAAATCCCCAACACCCCCTCTTTTGGTTCTGCCTTTGTCATTTGCATAAAAGGGTGCAAAGCGACTGCAGAGGTTTATTTTGTGTCCCTAAACATCTCCAGCTCTCTCACATCTGAATTCATGGCCTGTATTTTGTATAATTCAGTTGTTTTATAGACTTTTCATGCAATTTTAGGAGTTTTATTTTGTCAGTAAAGCCACAAACATACAAACGGCCTCAGTTAGGATTTCCCTGCGGTATGTGCAGGATAATATCGAGCCTATAAACTACATGTTTTGTTGTCCTGGTCTAATCTTGGTTGCCTCAGCTTTATGTAGTGATGGATTTTTTGGGGAAATATCTCCCCCTTCCTGAAGGCTGGGTTTCTTTTGTCCTGCTGCTGAAATGCGTACTCTTCTAACATCTCTCATCAGCCTCTAAGCTGAAAGCTTTTACACAGAAACCCTGCAGCCTTTGCTGCCATTGCAAAAAGATGACAACACAGAAATAGAGAGGACTGAGAGTTAAAAACCCCCAGCCATGCAGTTAGCTGATAAAAGAGAGTTAATCCTGTCTCTGTGATGGGCCACAGCATCAGGCTGGGCTCTAATACAATCTGCTGGCTTTTGCTTACAGTGTGCTGCATTACAGAGCATCACCTGGGCCTTTTGTGTTCAACCACAATGAAATGGCATTGGATTGAGTTGAACTGGTTCACCTCCCCCTGGTTTAAGAAAATGCTTACCAGCTGTGTTTTTTTTACATTTTTAATTTCTAGGCCACATGTATTTTTTTTCTTCCCAGCGCTCACACACTTTACGCAGAAGAAAGAAATTCAACGACTTATTGAGGAAATTAATCTGAAAGACTGCAGTGCAGGTAGAGCTACATCTGGGCTCTTTTACCGTATTTCCTTGCAGTATTGATGGATTAAAATGAGTTGTTTTTGTTTACTCATTCACCATTC